TTCTCAACTAGGGTGTTACTTGCTAGTGGCTTCCCAATCCATTTGGAGGCAAAGTCCTCTAGCACAGTGGTTCTCAACCTTTCCAGACTACTGTACCCCTTTCAGGAGTATGATTTGTCTTGCATACCTCCAAGTTTCACCTCACTGAAAAACTACTTGCTTACAAAATCAGACTTAAATACAAGTGTTACAGCACGCTATTACTGAAAAATGGCTGACTTTCTCACTTTTACCATATAATTATGAAATAAATCAATTGGAATATGAATATTGTACTAGGCAACTATCTAGATGAGTTGAAGTACCCCTTGGAAGACCTCGGTGTACCCCTGGTTGAGAACCACTGGTGTAGCTAGTAGTGCTGGAAAATGTTCCACACCCAAGCTTGGATACTAAGAGTTGCTCCTGCCTGTTCACTCTGATTTCCTGCTGATCCAGGTCAGCAGAAGGAGCACCTAATATTTGCACCTAAAATCAGTGGGGTCCAAATAGTTAAAGCCTCTCTTTGTGCAGAACATCGCAACATGCCCCAAGCTGATGCCATGGTACTGGTGGCAAGGAATTATGAACGCTACAAGACCGAGACCCGGGAGAAGGAGCGTGAAGAAATAGCCAGGCAGGCTGCCAAGATGGCAGATGAAGCAATTCTGCAGGAACGCGAACGCCCACCACCCATAGAAGAAGGTGTCAGGGGGAGCCATCCGCCAGGGATCCAGAGTCTCTTGAACCTGCTGGCAGACAACCGCTATCTGACTGCTGAAGAGACGGATAAAGTCATTAATTACCTGAGAGACCGGAAGGAACGACTACTTAGAGGAAGTACTGACTCTCTGCAGGGTAAGTTATCAGTCACATTCACTCCAATGCTGTGTACCTTAACAGGCCTTTGAGGCAGAGATGTTTGTTAGGCCATGTCTACACTACCAGACTTTGCTGGTTCAACTGTTGGTTGGGCGGGGGGGCGAAGGTATGATTCCTGAAGGACTGAGCTCTGCCAACAGAACCTTCTAATGTGGGCACAGTTACACTGGCAAAACTGTGCTATTCCCTGTGTAGCTTGTTTTGCTTGTGGGAGGTGGCTTCACGACAGTGGCAGAAAGCGCAGCTTTGAAGGTACAGCTGCGCCCCCATGAGGAGTGCATTGCCAGTCTAACATGCCAGCTCTCCCTTCGCAGTAGATGCTCTCGACATAGACATAGCCTTAGAGTATTGAGGCTGTTCTAATCATTCAGGGAGCTCCCTGGGGTGTTAGATTCTCTCTGAGAGATTGCAGGGTTACGCCAAATTGTCATGTGAATGGAGACGGTTCTGTAAGTGACATGGCCTGTGTTCTGCTTCCCTCCCACTCACCCAGAGCAGTTCAGTCCCACCTGTTTAGAGGATAGGGCAGTAGCTGACTTGCGTGGCTTGGTAACTATACCCATCAGGACTCCTCTACGATGCCTGTTCAGATGGGCCTGCAGAGAATTCACCCTCTTCCTTTCTCTTTCCAGCTCCATTGTCGAGACAGTCTCTTGGGGCGCCTTCGGGATCGTCTATGACTAGCCAGGCCAGCCTTCCAAGCTCTCAAACTCATCAGAGCACTCAGCCCCTGGCCTCTGCCACCTCTGCTACAGTGTCCTCCACTAACCCCCAACAGGAGCTGCAGGCAAAAATCCTCAGCCTCTTCAACAGTGGGGCTGCGGCTGCAGCGGCAGCAGCTGCTGTAGCAAACAGCAGCTCTGCAGCTTCCACAGCTGCTTCAGGTGGCACTCAGAACCAAAACTATGCTAATGTAGCCAGCAATCAAGCTCGGGCAGTGCAGCTCAGTGCTGCAAGCTTAAACCAATCTCAGCAGAGATCACAGGTCCCTGGAACGCAGCTTCCTGTCCTCCCAGGCTCCACAAGGAACACAGGCCCAAGACCTGGAGCATCTCAGCCAACCCAGGTACATTATGGTCAGCACCAAAATCGTCTGCCTACCCCTAGCAACATAGCTGTTCAGAGGCCCGTATCCTCTTCAGGTATCAACTTTGACAACCCCAGTGTGCAGAAAGCCTTGGACACCCTAATCCAGAGTGGCCCTGCTCTCTCCCACCTGGTGAGCCAGACAGTGGCCCAAGGGCGAGCAGGACCCTCAGCCCCGCAACCCATGGGCTCCTACCAGCGACACTATTAACATCCAGCTGCAGAGCCCATTTCCCTTCCCTTCGCCATTACCATACTTGTAGCTGTTTAAGAGTCTTTTGTCCTAGACCCAGGGCAAATGCCCTTGAAGATGCATGTCCTCTCCCTCTCTGGGTTCTTCGCAGTCCCTAGGCCACTTCTGCCTCCACAGTGGCTAGAGCACTCACTCCAGTAGGATTGCTGTTGAGTGTGTGGCTAGTGCCCCTCTTCCCCTTGATTTGGGTTAGCTGTCTTTGGAGACGAGAGCTCTGCTCTGTCAGTGACAAAGGAGTTCAGAAGCTTCTGTGGGTAGTTGAATTTTGGCCTCGATGGAAGTTGCTGCTATTGCAGACCAGCTGCATTTCCCGCTCTTGGTGGTTGCCATTGCAGTAATGTTTGCACAGCATGTTATACGCATGTTATACCATGCTTGCATTCTGTAGTCAAGTGATCGGAGTGAATTTCGCAAGGAGCTTATCAGAACAAAGTGGCTTCTTGACCTGGGTTTTTCTGAGACTGATTCCCTTCCCTCTTACAAGCCTCTCTTTGCAGGGGTGTGAACTCTAGGATGGTTCTGGGTTGGGGGGCTAGTGGTTAGACCTTCTGAGGTTTGGGTGAGCAGTATTTGTGTGTGGTTTTAAAAAAACAAACCATATAAGCCAGATGTGGGGAAGGCTCCCTGGCGGTGCTGTAGCAGCTAAACTCATGGTGCACAAGCAAGACTTGACCCCCAGGTAAAGCTGGGCAGTGAGTGCAGTGTCGAACTCCCACGGCAGGGACTAAGACTTCCTGGCTTAGTGAGGCCTGCAAGGATCTGCTGGCCATACCAAGGAGTGAGGAGCTTTCCAGCTTTTGTTCTAGGTACAATGGCAAACCCAAACCCCAGAACTTCCTACTCAGGCCAGGCCAGGGAATTAAAAGGCTTTGTCAATTCTCCTGGACTCAGCAGCCAAATTTACAAGAAGTTTGTTACATGTGACACAAGTTTTCTGTTTGTTTTGGGGCAGTGGACTACTGTAACTTTATCAACAGCCCAGCCACAGAAACCCCAGTCTGCGGGCAGCTCCCCCTCCCAGAATTGGGTACAGCAGGCTACCTGGTGGGGGGCAGGGTCTCGACACTCTGCTGGAGCTTTGCGACTCCATTTGATTGCTGGTTAGGTTGGGTTCTGTCACAGGTCGGGGAGGCAGTGCTGAGAGGACTCCTACATTTTTATAAGTTTCCAAACATTTTAGTAGCAGCACTGGATGCTTTTGTGGAAACTCAGGTGGAGAGTCCTGAGCAGGTTTTTAACCAGTGTTGCATGTTAGGGCATGTGGCTTCTCTGACTGGATCATATCTAGTGCAAAAGGGAATGCACAGCGCCTCTTTAAAGCCTCTGGGGCTTCCTGGGGAGGGCAGGAAGAAACTGTTTAGAAAACAAAGTTCCTGGAGCAGCAGCTCTCTCTGTCTTGAATGGTTTGTGTTCTGGAGCGTTTTTCTTTCTGTGCTGTTAACAAGAGGACGTGACTTTTTAATAAAATTGTCAGGAAAAATGTGGTGGTGCGTGTTTGACACTAACCGTCTTGAGCAGTAAATTGAAACAGACCCTTCCCCAGGAGGTGTCAGTGCTCGGTTTCCTCAGGTCACCTGCCTTATGGCTTGTCTACCCAGGGAGTTCCCAGGGAAGCTAGTGAGAAATAGCTAGGGTGTAGAATGAAAACCAGTAGCTATTCCTCACTTATTCTCAGGTGGCTGGAGTACCTTTCTGTAATTTAGCTTGATCCACTGTCAGCATGGGATAACAATGTCCACACAGAGAGCAGTTCAGCTGTAGCTATTCTGGGCTTTTTCCCCTGCATCCACAAGCCTGCAGACACTGGCCGGTGCCGGATGCCAAGGAGAAAGTGTGAAAGCTCGCTCTTGCACCTGACTGTAATCCTATTGCATGAGGTGGGGGAGGGTATGTGCTTGTCTCAGATTCTCCTGCTTAGGACTTTCAAGTGCTTTTTAAGCATTTATCCTCACACATCCCTGTGAACTCCTGAATTCACATTGCCACTCTGTAGAAACCATTGGTCTGTTCCCACTTCTCAGCAGAGAGTGAATGGGTGTCACGGCAGTTTGGAGGCTCCCAGTGCCCTGCTGGGGAACTAAACATAGGGCATTGGAAGATGAGTTATCTGCACCTACAGACAACTTGTCTGAGCCCACAGAAAGAGGGCTCCAAAGGTTTTCTCGCTTTCAGTGCTGTGCGTGGAGCACTAAACACGCTGCAGTGTGTTCCCCTTGAGCCTGAACTCATGTCATTGCAGGTGCTGTTCATTGTACAAATATTAAAGCCCTTTTTGAATCATAAGCTGCTAGTCCCAGTTGCATTAAAACCCTGGACTTTCTCGGTTTATGTTTACTACTGGTTTTGGGCTGACCAGAATTAAATATGAATGAGCCTTCTCATTGGCCCCCTCCTCAGACTGACAAAACCAAGGTTTTCCACCTTCTCCGTGGAGGGTAAGTGCACGCAGGTTAGTGCTCTAAAAACGTTAGGCTGGATGCATTGTATGCAGGCTTCTCCTCCTGCAGCCCCTTATGCCTCATTCTGTTAGATGCCTTATCTGGATTTGACCATGTTGAAGGGAAGGTGCCCCTGTTGGGCAATAGATGGCATTCATTGCAGCATGTGAGGGAGAAGGGGGAGGCTAGTGGTATCAGTGAGGGTCATTTCAAATGTCCCAAAGTTCTCCCTCCAGGCTGCTATTCCTGCGAGCCCCTCTGGTTCCTGCTACCAGGCATGCAGCTGCCCCGTGGAAACTAGTGAAGCGTTGGTCATGCGCTGCAGCCTCCAAAAACGAGTGAAAATTCCCCACTGCATGCGGTGAAGGGTGCAGTCAAATCACTTTATTGCATTTTGTGCAGACAGGAGTCTAAAAAATTAATACAATAAAAGCTGTAAAGCATTAACAGGAGCATTCAACAAGTGAGGAGTCACTCCTCTGTTAATATCCACAGCGAACACAGGGGGGTGATATTGAGGAGGCCCAATACAGAATACTGAAACACTCGCATAGAAATTAAATGCAAGCCTATTCCTCTTCTTTTGGTTTGCAACCTATTTTATTTACACCATTTAAACGTCTTTGCATTGCTCTGCACAGAGATTCTTTAAAACACAAAGCATACTAGGTCACTACATGTCTATTGAAATATTGCACTCAGAATAAAAGTCATTGGAATGGATGTAAAACATCTAGGTACAGTGACTATAAAGTTTATTTAATGAATTGACTTTGTTGTGGTAACATTCATAACAAATATATTGCACATGTAGCACAGAAAAGTGTTTTGCAACCAACAAAACCTCAGACCTCTGGATCCTTCCACTACGACGTGTCAGTGCTGCCATACAGCGGAGAGTCTTGACTCTTGTAGTGCAACTGTTGTACCCTAAGCAGTATCCATCCTTCCTGCTGTTCATGTGACTATGAACACCGTTGCCCAGTGCAGCCTCTGCCTACATCTGTAAACACGCTCTCAAATGGTTTGTAACCTGTACCAGGGAATACCTGGACTGCGCATAACCCACCAGCTTGCACTGGGAGGCCAGGTAGTGAACTGCTGGAAGGGGGCTGGGGAATGGAGGTTGCCCCCATTTTAACTTCTGAGGAACTGATGACCTTTCCTCTGCTCTGGCTAGAGTAGTTCCCTGAGCAGGGGCCCGAGCCTTGCACAAAGAGCCTGCTCTGCTCTGATGGAGGTGGAGGGGCTGTGCTCATCCTTGCAGCTGCATACGAGGGCTCTCTGTAAAACAAGCCTCATGGGTCAAGACCTTCCTGCCTGCCCTGAAAACCCTGAACTGTCTCCACATGTGCCAGAAAGAGACTCAGGTTTCTACCACAGCACACTGTGTCTTTCCCAAGACGGAACAGTGGAAGGGTGCTCCAGAGGGAGCTGCACACTCACAGAGGCCAAACGTGCCGGGGCAGAGCTGGGTTTGTAAACTAACATGCAGTGCTGTCTGCTAAAACTGGCCCCCTCCAGCCCCAGGCGTGGGGGTTTGCTGTGGAAACATCACCCTCTGCTTGCCCCCAAGGAGTTTGGCCAGGCAGTGGTTCTGAGAGGCAACAATGCACATGTGTGTTCAGAGACTAGCGCTGGTCTTGCTGAGCTAGGGCGGGGGAAGGGGGCTCCTTTGCCTTTCACTGTCTCAATGTGGTAACTTGCCAAGAGGGGGCTGAGTACTGCCCCCCAGCACCGTTGGAGTCCTGGCTTTCCAGGATGAGGGAGGGAGGGGCCCTGGCTGCCGTTGCTGTTTTGAGCAGTGGCTGTAGCCTGCTCTGAGCTGGTCTAATGGATGCTTTGCTTAAACGGGTGCCAGCACCTGTCTGCACTAGGGTTTCCACTGCCACGAGGGAGTGCAGGTAGCAGAGCAGGGATCAGTGATGGGGGCAGGGTGTGACACGTGCCCAAGGGTGAGCTCGATGCTGCAGGTGGTTCGCACTAGAGGAATCATGAGACAAGAACTGTTAAGTCCTGATTACAGGGAAAGAGTCAGGATTGAAGGGCATCTGCACTGAGGGAGGGGGACAGCACTGGGGCCAGGAAAGGAGAGGAAGGCAGCAGGAGCAGGTTGGGGCAGCTTTGAGGCCTGCAGGCAGCAGCAAAAGCCAAAGCAGAGTTTTGCAAGTAAGATCTACGACTTCCAGCCCTGGGATCAGTCTGTGCTCTTAGGAACCTTGCTGCTACTGAATGGTGTGAAAGCCAAGCCATGGGGAGTGTCTGGGTGATGGGGTCTTCTCACAGCAGCCACTAACCAGCCCTAGCTCTTGCTGTGCGGCTGGCCCTCCATCAGCCCCTGACCCAAGCGTAAGGAAACCTTCCTCCAAGCAGACACCTGCCTGTTCATCTAAAAGTGTTCTTGGGGCTGAGGCACTCAGCAGAGCTGCTCTGTGCTCAGCAGAGTTGCTGGCCATTAATTGTCCAGTGTCGGGCTGGGCCCCTGCATCGCTGACTTCCAGCCGGGAGTTGGGCTCAGTGCTCTTGCTCGGGGAATAGCTCAGCTTCACCTTGGCGTTGATTCCCCATTAGCAGCGTGTGGCCGCAGCAGCAGGCACCCATCCCTTGCCAGGGTTTGAACTGGAGCTGCTGCACCGAATAATGCTGCTGTACGCAGAGCTGCATTTTTCCAAGCAGTCTGGCTATGACTGGGGTTGTGCCTGAACTGCTGCTGGGGGGTGGCACTTTGAGGGAGCCAGGGCTCAAGGGGCATAGCAACAAATGCAGCGAGGCCTGGGGCCATCACCAAAACCTGGCCTAGGTGAGCAGATGCTGGATTGTGAGCAGGGAGCTTCAGCCAGGTCAGCATTACTAAGTGGAGAATTGCTTCCTGCTCCACTGCCCTCCCCTCATTCCCCATGGGGCCAGTGCTGGGGCTGGAAGGGGGGGGGGTGATGCCAAGGGCCCACTGGAGGAGGATTTAGGGCAAGTGCCTACAGAAGACTTGTTCCCTCTGTCGCAGCTTCAGTGGGAAGGAAGTTGAGGGCTGGCACCTCTGTGGGAGCAGCTGCTGGGCACTGGATGCTCTTCCCTAGAGAGCAATGAGCAAGGGCAGCGTGAGAGGAAAGGAAGGGGGGCTATGGGGAGCCAGCACTGTCTGTGAGAAGGGGCCCAGCTGCCTTCTCCAAGGGGATTCATTGTAGGAGACATGTCAGCTGTGGCCGTTAGCCCTTACTTGTATCAAGCCATGGGCCTCTGAACTGCCATCTCCCACCTGCAGAAGGTACAGGGCTGCCCCAGTGGTATCTGCACGGGCCCATTCCCAGCGCTGCAACGGGTGGAGTTTATGGCGGCTAAGAAGAGGTGGGCTGGGATCAGCTCTGGGCCACACATCTGAGTGGTAAAGCTGCTCCCTCTCGGCTTGGGGAGAGGGCCCGCCGGAGCAGGCTGCACTCAAATTGGAAGCTCAAGTCTGCTGTGAAGCAAATTCAGAAAATTCTGTAACTTCTTTTCCCTGAAAAGACTAAGCAGCAAAATTCAAAGAGAATGACCCCACGAGCTGGCCCTCCCCCCGGGACGTGCCATAGGCCAGGGACGCTGCAGCCTTCACCCCTGCACGTGAGCGACAAGGAAAAGCCGCCCTCTCCAGAGGGAGCAGCCTCAGCAAAACCTTGGAGCCCTTGGGCCTGGGCCCCAGACGGAGTCTAAAAGCCGGAGCCAGAATTCACTGGCGCTAGCGACTCCTTGCATCTCTCAGCATAGAGCTAGATCTCTCTCGCTATTCTTCATCTGGGTCTATGAACATAAATATGATCACTTTAAAAATACACATACAATATTATGTACATTATATACAGCTGGGCAGGCGCCCGGGCTGGGCGAGCCCTCTGCCCTCCCGGCCTCCACGCCCACTGCGGTTCCTAGAACTATTCACATTGGTTAAAAGCGCCCCAGTTTCTCAGTAAAGTGAGAGATGCTGAGGGGGGTCTCGGGGGGGGCTGGGACCAAGGTTTGACGTGTCCAAACAAGCCCACAGCCATGTGCGCGGGTGCAGCTGGGCTCCTTGCAGAGCTGCTCATGGGCCCATGTGACCTGGGGAGGCTGCATCCCAGATGTGGAGTGTCAGTGCCCTGCTGCTGGTACGGGGGGGGCCGGGGGGGGGATTGAGCTGATTTGCATATTTATAAACTTTCAGTGCCTGCAGTCTTCACCCAGCAGCCCCTGAAGCAGCAAGATGGCCTTGAGGAGGTTGCCGTGGGGGAGGGGACGCAGGGGGCACAAGGCTGCAGCAGGGGCCCAGGGAGGCTGCGTTCCAGCTCTTCGTGCATGGGGGGGGAGGGACACAGGCCGCAGGCCTCCCGCCAGGAGCTGCTGGGCAGCGTGGCCGTGCAGGGCCCGGGCCCCTGCGTTCCCAGGGCTGGGCGGCGCGTGTGGGCAGCGTGCAGGGAGCGCGCCTGGCAGTGCCCAGGCCCTGCAGCAGGGATGGAACCAGGCCACACCAGCCGCGCGCCCCTGTGCTGAGCGGGGGCTGGGGTGAAGGAGAAACACTTGAAGTCCATGTCCCCGCTACCCCCCTCCTGCGCCGGGATGCAGCCCCTGCCAGGCCCCTCTCACCCAGCCGGCACATCCAGGTGGCCTCACGACAAGGGCAGCGTGGCGCTGTCCTTCGCGCCGACGTCTGCAGGACCTGCCTCTTCCCTGCGCAGCACTCGTCCGTCCGAACCAGCGCCCGGGGGCCGCAGAGCGTGGCTGTGGTTCCCAGGCGCCGGCAGCGGGCAGCAGCAGGGGCTGCGCTCTGTTGAGCCTACTTGGCGAGGGGCCTGTGGCTGGCACTGCAGGGCACGTGTGAGTGGTGGGGTGAGGCGCGGCTGGCGAGGCGAGCATGCGGTGGCCTGGCCCAGGCGCACAGGCGCCAAAGGACACGTCAGCAGGCGGGGCAGGGCAGCAGACGTGTCCCACAAACCTCAGCGTGTCCTAATGTAGCAGAGCGAGGGGTGGAGAGCCTAGTCCCGAGGGGCCGGTGCACCCACGCCAGCCCTCCGGGGGCTCCAAGGAAGCACTGACTGAGAGCCTGGCCAGCCCCGCTTCCTGCCCCGCACGGAGGCCGGGGCGGTGGCAAAATGCTGCAGGCCTGGGGCTGGGGCTCCGGGCTCCCGTCTCTATTTCTACATCAACAGCCACCGCAGGGCTGTGCCGGAGCGATGGGGGACAGCGGCGCGGGTGCTGGTTGCTCCTGGAACCTCTGGGGCTGCAGTTCGAATGGAGCGGGTGGGGGCACGGCAAAGTCTCTGAGCACCAAGCACGAGCGGGACCGCCCTCCTGCCCCCCGGGAGCCAGGCGCAAAGAGGTCGGTGGGGGGGTCTCTCCGGGGGCACAGTAACTTCAGGCAGCAGTCGTGTTTCAGGAGTAGATGGTGATGACTTCCCGGCCCCCTCCGCGCACCAGCATGACCCGGTCCAGGTGCTCCGTCAGCACCTCCAGGAACTCCATGTCTGCAGGGCGGGGCCGTCAAGGCGGAAACCGGACCCCGCATCGGGCCCCATCGCTGGGCCCGCCAGAGGCCGGGGCGGCGGGAGGGCACAGGGCCTGCCAGGCTGGCTTGGCCGGGCCGCCGAGGGGCCGGAGCCCCAGGCCCCGGGAAGCCCTGGGCTAATGCCCGGGGCCGGCGCGCCCCGCCCCTCGGGACCTGCCCGACCCTGGCACGGGAGGGCGCCGCAGCCGGAGCTTCGCGCACGGGGCGCCGGGGGCTGCCTGTGTGACCCCCCCAGGCCGGCAGAGCCCCTGCCCTGCCCGGGGCCCTGGACCACTGATTGGCTGAGTTAGCGCCGCTCTCAGAGGCCTCCACCAATCAGCGAGGCCGCACTGGGCCCGCCGGGGGGCAGGGGGGGCGCGGGCAGGGACTGGGGCAGCCAGGGGCGGCTGGAGCCGGGGCTGCTCGAAACTGATGGGGGGAGGGTGCATGCACCCCCGGCTCTGTGTGTGTGTGTGTGTGTGTGTGTCTCTCGCTGTGGGCGCACCCCCGGCTGTGTGTGTGGATGTCACTCTGGGCGCGCCCCCGGCTGTGTGTGTGGATGTCACTCTGGGCGCGCCCCCGGCTGTGTGTGTGGGTGTCACTGTGGGCCCGCCCCCCGGCTGTGTGTGTGGGTGTCACTGTGGGCGCGACCCCCCGCTGTCTGTGTGGGTGTCACTCTAGGCCCGCCCCCTGGCTGTCTGTGTGGGTGTCACTGTGGGCCCGCCCCCCGGCTGTGTGTGTGGGTGTCACTGTGGGCGCGACCCCCCGCTGTCTGTGTGGGTGTCACTTTAGGCCCGCCCCCTGGCTGTCTGTGTGGTTGTCACTGTGGGCCCGCCCCCCGGCTGTGTGTGTGGGTGCTGGGTGTCACTGTGGGCCCGCCCCCCGGCTGTGTGTGTGGGTGTCACTCTGGGCGCGCCCCCCGGCTGTGTGTGTGGGTGTCACTCTGGGCCCGCCCCCGGCTGTGTGTGTGGGTGTCACTCTGGGCGCGCCCCCGGCTGTGTGTGTGGGTGTCACTCTGGGCCCGCCCCCCGGCTGTCTGTGTGGGTGTCACTGTGGGCCCGCCCCCCGGCTGTGTGTGTGGGTGTCACTGTGGGCGCGACCCCCCGCTGTCTGTGTGGGTGTCACTCTAGGCCCGCCCCCTGGCTGTCTGTGTGGGTGTCACTGTGGGCCCGCCCCCCCGGCTGTCTGTGTGGGTGTCACTCTGGGCCCGCCCCCCGGCTGTCTGTGTGTGGCTCTGCCATTCAGCCAGAACACGGGCACGGCTCCACATCGAGCACCTGGGCCCTGCCCCACACCAGCCCAGAGCCAAGCCCCCGGCTCCCAGCAGTAGGGCTGCAGTCTGTTCCTGGCTGGCACATGGCGTTGCTCTTCCCAGCACGGGGCGTGGTGCTCCTGGCTGAAATGCCCAGGGGTGGGTGCTTCCAATGTCGGCAGGCGCCGGCTGGGCCCAGCCGCAGCCCCCTGGCCCAGCCTGTCTCACCAGCCTCGCGAGGCTGGAGTTGGGGAGGGTGGGAGAAGCTGCCAAGCGGTGGGAGTGGGCAGCTACTGCCATGGTTTGATGGCGCTACCCCAGCTGCTGGCGGGTGGGAGGAGGCATCGGGCAGGGCAGGGAGGTGCCACTGGGGCAGCCCCACATCCCTAGCATCCCCTGCCCACCAGGCCTGGGCTCCCCCTTCAGCCGCACTCAGCCAGGGCCTTAGGGTCCCACCGCCCAGAGCCAGCAACACCCACAGCAGGAAGACGGGGCCCTCTGGCAGAGAACCTGCAGGGCAGGACCTGTCCCAGCCAGGGCCTTCCAGCCCACAGACACTTATGTGCCGCAGACACTGGCCTGGCCACTGCCAGCAGCCAGCAAAGGATACAGTTCTCATCCCCCTTCCGGTTGCGGGGTGGGCCTGGCATGTTCAGCAGGACCAGCTTGGCGTTCTGCGACTTCTTGACAATGACCTCGTTAAGCTTGACGGCTGTGTGCATCCTCCGCACATTGGACTGGTTCCTGGGGGAGAAACGGGCGGGCAGGCTCAGGGGGCAGGGCAGGGCCCCAGCCCCTTAGAGCTGGTGGTGGTGTAGGGGGCGCAGAAAGCCCCGCCCACACAGCTGTGTCAGCTGGGGGAGGGGCGCAGAAAGCCCCGCCCACACAGCTGTGTCAGCTGGGGGAGGGGCGCAGAAAGCCCCGCCCACACAGGTGTGTCAGCTGGGGGAGGGGCACAGAAAGCCCCGCCCACACAGGTGTGTCAGCTGGGGGAGGGGCGCAGAAAGCCCCGCCCACACAGGTGTGTCAGCTGGGGGAGGGGCGCAGAAAGCCCCGCCCACACAGGTGTGTCAGCTGGGGGGGGGCGCAGAAAGCCCCGCCCACACAGGTGTGTCAGCTGGGGGAGGGGCGCAGAAAGCCCCGCCCACACAGGTGTGTCAGCTGGGGGAGGGGCGCAGAAAGCCCCGCCCACACAGGTGTGTCAGATGGGGGGGGGAGGGGCGCAGAAAGCCCCGCCCACACAGGTGTGTCAGCTGGGGGAGGGGCGCAGAAAGCCCCGCCCACACAGGTGTGTCAGCTGGGGGAGGGGCGCAGAAAGCCCCGCCCACACAGGTGTGTCAGCTGGGGGAGGGGCGCAGAAAGCCCCGCCCACACAGGTGTGTCAGCTGGGGGAGGGGCGCAGAAAGCCCCGCCCACACAGGTGTGTCAGCTGGGGGAGGGGCGCAGAAAGCCCCGCCCACACAGGTGTGTCAGCTGGGGGAGGGGCGCAGAAAGCCCCGCCCACACAGGTGTGTCAGCTGGGGGAGGGGCACAGAAAGCCCCGCCCACACAGGTGTGTCAGCTGGGGGAGGGGCGCAGAAAGCCCCGCCCACACAGGTGTGTCAGCTGGGGGAGGGGCGCAGAAAGCCCCGCCCACACAGGTGTGTCAGCTGGGGGAGGGGCGCAGAAAGCCCCGCCCACACAGGTGTGTCAGCTGGGGGAGGGGCGCAGAAAGCCCCGCCCACACAGGTGTGTCAGCTGGGGGAGGGGCACAGAAAGCCCCGCCCACACAGGTGTGTCAGCTGGGGGAGGGGCACAGAAAGCCCCGCCCACACAGGTGTGTCAGATGGGGGAGGGGCACAGAAAGCCCCGCCCACACAGCTGTGTCAGATGGGGGAGGGGCACAGAAAGCCCCGCCCACACAGGTGTGTCAGCTGGGGGAGGGGCACAGAAAGCCCCGCCCACACAGGTGTGTCAGATGGGGGAGGGGCACAGAAAGCCCCGCCCACACAGGTGTGTCAGATGGGGGAGGGGCACAGAAAGCCCCGCCCACACAGGTGTGTCAGATGGGGGAGGGGCACAGAAAGCCCCGCCCACACAGCTGTCTCAGACCCAGGAAGGAGACCTGCCAAGAACAAGCAACTCCTGCACTTCTCAAGAGGTGCCCGAGGCAACGCTGGCCCTTGCTGCCCCTGCCCATGGGGCAAGCCTGGGGCACTAGCCAGTCCTGGGGCTCTGACCAGGCTCAGCCAGGCAGGTTCAGTCTCTTCCCCCTGTTGGCAGGAGGTGCTGTGTGGGGCAGGCGAGGCTCCCCCAGCAGGGGGTGGTATGTGGGGCAGGTGAGAGCTCTGTGGCAAGGGGAGGTGTGTGGGGCAGGCAAGGATCCCTGGCAGGGGGTGATGTGTGGGGCAGGCGAAGGCCCCCAGCAGGGGGCGATGTGGGGCGCAGACTTGGCACTGGAGTGGCAGGATCCCGCAGCCCCCTCCTGCTCCCCTCCGCGCCGGGACACGGGACACACACACACAACTCAGACTTACAGGTTCTCCCACTCCCTGCCGGCAGCACGGGGGAAAGAGAGAGAGAGCTCGTCAGCACCGTCCTGCCTCGCCCCACCCCCTGGAGCACCAGCTCTGGTTCACTGCTCAGCTCCCACTTCTGCCACCTTGGGCACAGCGCTGTGCTGGTCTCCAGGAGCTCCCCGGCCTCCGTGCACCAGCTCCCTGGCTCGGCTCCAGCACGGACACAGGCAGGCCCAGGCCAACGCTGCCTGGGACAGGCCCGCTGAGCAGGCTGCCTGGCTCGGCTGGGGACCAGTGTCTAACAGGGGGTGCAGTGCAGGGTGCCGGGGGCCACCCCAGGGCCAACTTACGGCTTCATGTTGAAGAAGTCCTTGATGCTTTCGGGGCTGACGGGGCTCTTGCTCTTGTTCTTCTCCGCAACAGACTTTTCCTTGGTCCAGGTGAGATGCACCTTCTCAGGGGCTGTCTCCACCTCATCACCGGGCGACTGGGGCCTGCTGGAGAAGGCCGTGGCGTTCTTATCGTGGATGAGCTGCACCTGCAGAGGGAATGGGTGAGAGCGAGCAGGGAAGCAGGCCGGGAGGGGTCTTCCCAGCCCCCCATCCTGCCTCACCCATGGTGCCCCAGGTCCATGTCACTTGGCCCTGCCAGCCCCAGACCCCTCACCCTGCAGCACTTGGCCCTGCCAGCCCCCACCCTGCAGTACTCAGCCCCACCCTGCTGTTCACTGCCTCCATAGTGCCCCCTGATGCCCCAGCACTTGGCCCCCTTTCAGGTGCTTGCTCCCCCCAGTTCTGCAGCATCAGCCCCCCAGCTCCCCATCCTGTGGGGCTTGGCCCCCCAGCATGCAGCCTTACCTCCTCCTCCGGCTTCTCCTCACTGTCGCCCACCTGCTCCTCTGGGACGCTCAGCCGCAGCCGGGTGTTGGCAGGGTTCTTGCGCCGGATGGAGCCGCGGGACTCGTCCGTGATGCTCTGGATCTGCGTGGGGAGGGATGGAGATGGGAGCCCATTGTGCAAACCCAGCTTGCCACAGGCCAGACACCAGGGGTCCCTGCAGGGTGCATCCAGCTGGGATCTCAGTGGGGAGCGAGCTCAGCACAGAGCCCACTTGAGCTACTCCGTTCCTGCCCCACCCGGTGATGGGGGTCACTGTGGGGGCACAGCCGAGGGCAGCTCAAGGCTGGCCAGAGGGAAAAGAGTTCAGGTCTGGTTTGGTGGGGCAGGGGGTCACTGCTGAGGAGCTCAGGTCTGGCCAGGGGGGTCACTGCTGAGGGGAGCACAAGGCTGGCTGTGGGGGGTCACTGCTGGGGGGAGCTCAGGGCTGGCTGGGTGGGGGTCACTGTTGTGGGGCGCTCAGGACTGGCCGGGGAAGGTCACTGCTCAGGGGCCTCAGGACTGGCCGGGGGGGTCACTGCTGGGGGGGCGCTCAGGACTGGCTGGGGGGGGTCACTGCTCGGGGTTCTCAGGACTGACTCGGGGGGGGGGTCACTGCTGGGGGGCCCCAGGACTGGCTGGGGGGGCACTGCTCGGGGGTCTCAGGACTGGCCAGGGAAGGTCACTGCTGGGGGGAGCTCAGGACTGGCCGGGGGGGGTCACTGCTGGGGGGGTCTCAGGACTGGCTGGTGGGGGCACTGCTGGGGGGAGCTCAGGACTGGCCGGGGGGGGGCAGGGGGTCGCTGCTGGAACCCTGCACCACAGTTACTAGCAGCTCCCCATGGCTTACAGGGCCCAGGTGGCACGGCAGAGCTGCTGCCCCGTGGGGGTGCAGGCCCCAGTGTTTTGGGGGGGCAGCCTGCCCCGGGCAGAGGCCTCACCCAGGGAGCCCTGTTACCTCTCGCTCCCGCTCTGTCTTGGTGAGGTGCATCTGCTTGAGGATCTGCGAGCGCTGTTCCATCACCAGGGTCTTCTCGTAGGTGTAGGCCGAGATGTCGCTCTCATGCTGCAGGGACACGACGTGCCATCACCCAGGGAGGGAGCTTGGCACACACAGCCCCCCAGCTCAGCCTGAGGCACAGCCCTGGGCCCTGGAACACCAGGCACATGGGCAAGTGCCCCCCGTTCCCCTAGAAACACCTGGCCGGCCCTTCCCCTACAGCCCTTTGGGGACCCCAGTGCTGGGCACGGGCAGTTCCGCACCCACCTCTCAGGGCAGCGAATCGCACAAGCCAGCGGCCAGCCACAAGGCCAGGGGGCCGGGCCAGGGAGGGGCTGGGCTGCGCGAGGGCTCTCACCATCTCCACCACCTCCACCTCGGCCGTGATGCGCAGGTGGTACAGGAATGTCGTCAGGTCCTTCTTCATCTGGATGCTGTTATCGTCCATCTGCGCCACCGTGAAGATGCGCATCTTACATTTACGCCAAACCTGCCAGGGAGACGGACCGCTGTCAGCCTGCCCTGCATGGAACCCTCCCAATCCCAGCCTGGCCGGCCCACCAAAGCAGGGAACCGGCCTCCGATCTCAGCCCGGTCAGCTCACCAAATGGAGGAGCCGGCCCCCAGTCCTAGCCTGGCCAGCCCACCACAGGGAGGAACCAGCCCCCGATCCCAGCCTGGCCAACCCACCACAGGCAGGAACCAGTCCCCAGTCCCAGCCTGGCTGGCCCACCAAAGGGTATGTGTGTAATTGTCTGGAATACCGCTATGAACTGTCTATGGGCCCCTTGTACGATCACCTTGACGTTGCACCCCAGTGGGTACAGAGGGTTACAGTGCTGCTCCTGGGGCAGCACGGGGTCTTGTTATTGTCTGGGGTGGGGTATGAATGGGTCATTGAGGACTGCCTGGAACCCACCCAGCTCAATGGGAAACCTGCAGAGACAACGGGATACTGAACGCACCAGCCATGACTTGCAGCAATAAAAAGATTAGCCAAAGGAACCAGCCAGAAAAGGGTGTAGCCCCCACCTACCCTAGAGCAGAGCAAGGAGAGGGCGTTAAACGAGGCACAGCTGACTGCAGGGCTGGGGAATGCTGATCAGGACAGGAACTGGGGCCCAGCCCCAGGCCAGGGTCTGAGAGATGCCAAAGACAACAGTGGCAGCAGCGGCATCCCCCAGGCCCCGTTCACCAGCTCTGGCACTGAGCATGATGCCACTTCTGCTGCCACAGCCGAAACTGGCCGACTGTGAGAACCAGCGCGAACAAAAGGGAGAGCAGGGAAAGCCGCAGCCACAGCATGACCTGGGTCTGGAGCTGAGGCAGAGCGTGAGGCCTACACTGGAGTAGTACGTGGGGAGGAACCATGGGAGGCCAGTTCTGCAGGGCGCCTAGATACCAATGGGGAGGGGGGGGTTGATCCCTACCGCCGGGCCTGGCACAAGTTTGCACCAACTCTACTCTTCCCCCGGTACTCCCTCCCCAAGCAACAGAGCGTACAGAAACGACCCCAGGGACGAGGAACCGTTCACAGACGCCGGCGGCTTCTCGGGAAAGGTTTTGAGGCGTGCACCAGGCCAAGGGGGGGTGATTCTCCCCAAATGGTGTAATGGTGCCGATGTCACTACAGGGAAAGATTTCAGAGGGGTAGCTGTGTTAGTCAGCAAAAACAACGAGGAATCCTTGTGGCACCTTATAGACTAACATATGTATTTGGGCATAAGCTTTCGTGGGTAAAAAACCCCACTTCATCAGATGCATGGAGTGAAAAATACAGACAGCAGTATAAATATTATAGCACATGAAAAGATGGGCGTTGCCTTACCAAGTGTGTGGGGGGTGTCGGTGCTAATGAGGCCAATTCAATTAAGGTGGAAGTGGCCTATTCTCAACAGTTGACCGGAAGGGGTGAATATCAAGGGAGGAAAATTACTTTTGTAGTACTAATGAAGCCAATGCAATCAAGTTGACAAGAAGGTGTGAGTATCAACAAAGGCTCACCTTACCTGACCACTCTCCTTACAGTCTGTATAGTAACACCATTGTTTCATGTTCTCTGTGTATATAAATCTCCCCACTGTATTTTCCACTGAATGCATCCGATGAAGTGAGCTGTAGCTCACCAAAGCTTATGCTCAAATAAATTGGTTAGTCTCTAAGGTGCCACAAGTACTCCTTTTCTTTTAACAAAGGGAAAATTATTTTTTGTAGTGACCCAGCCACTGCCAGTCTTTATTCAGGCCTAATTTGATGGTGTCAAGTTTGCAAATTAATTCCAGTTCTGCAGTTTCTCGTTGGAGTCTGTTTCTGAAGTTTTTTTGTTGAAGAATGGCCACTTTTAGGTCTGTTATTGAGTGTCCAGGGAGGTTGAAGTGTTCTCCGATTGGTTTATGAATGTTATAATTCTTGACATCTGATTTGTGTCTATTTATTCTTTTGCGTAGAGACTGTCAAGTTTGGCCAATGTACATGGCAGAGGGGCATTGCTGGCACGTGAGGGCATATATCACATTGGTAGAAGTGCAGTGAACGAGCCTCTGATGGTGTGGCCGATGTGGTTAGGTCCTTTGATGGTGTCCCTTGAAAAGATATGCGGACAGAGTTGGCAACGGAGTTTGTTGCAGGGATTGGTTCCTGGTTGGTGTTTTTGTTGTGTGGTGTGTAGTTGCTGGTGAGTATTTGCTTCAGGTTGGGGGGCTGTCTGTAAGCGAGGACTGGCCTGTCTCCTAAGGTCTATGAGAGCGATGGATTGTCCTTCAGGAATTAGCCTCGTTACCACTGACCCCCCACCTTGGTAAGGCAACTCCCATCTTTTCATGTGCTGTAATATTTATACTGCTGTCTGTATTTTTCACTCTGTGCATCTGATGAAGTGGGTTCTAGTCCATGAAAGCTTACGCCCAAATAAATTTGTTAGTCTCTAAGGTGCCACAAGGACTCCTCATTGTTTTTACTACAGGGAAAGGTTTATACAATTAGAGCAATTCCATGAGCCATGGCCCCACACTCTGAAAATGTGGCTAGTAGACCGGACTAGGGATCTGCGTAGCACAGGCCGGTTGGCCGATGAGTTTGTGCCTAGTAGGCCTGGCTGTGAGACAGAGCCAAAGGGTGACTGGCCCAAGTTGGGGGTCACTTACAGGGGGTCACACAGGGGCACCCCAGAAATGGGATTTCAGTAAACTCAAACCAGAAGTGACGGCCGATGCAGGTAGACCACCCCAAAGGGATTCCCAAAGAGGCAGAGTTGTAAGATCCGTCGGCAGACAGCGCATCAGGGGCTGTACTGCCTGAGGCTTCATGAAATGGGCTTTAAATGGGACCACCAAAGAGTTATCTTGGTGAAGGCCCAGCCCAGAGGAATGCCAGTTCCCCAAGCCTTGGGGGGGCAGTGTCCCTGTGGCTTTGTGCGGGTGCAATGGGCAACATCAGCTCTCAACCCTCTTGCGCTGGGGTAGCCCATTCATAGGATGTGCGCTGAGTAAACACTCTATTAACCCTGTACAGCAGGCTGGGAAATGGGTCCAAGGACACTGGAACAAGGGTCTGCGGTGACTCTTGCATGGCCCAGTGTGCTAGACCTGGTTCAGTTTGTGCCCAGTGAATATGTAATCACGAGGGCGGTGTCTGGACCCTTGGCCAAGGGGCCTGTAGCAAGGATCTACCTGAGATGGGGAAGCCCAAGAGGGGCACAAAAAGGGTGGGGGGGCAGGATCAGCTCCCTGCAGTGCTGCTGTTGGGAAAATCTTCCCAACTGGCCAGATAATGCCCAAGTGTCCTGGCCCTTCCCAGAGCCAGAGAGTTCCCCCCAAGTCCTGACCACAAATGATGGGGCTAGGAAGCTACTGCCTGTGGCTTGGGGGAATGTGCTCGTTGGGGCAAGGCTGAGACTCTGTCCACAGGTGGGGAAACTGAGTCACAGCCAAGTAATGCTGGGACTCAGATCCCAGCCAGTGGGGATGGACAGGTCACACTCCTTGCCCAGTAGCTGAATTTCAGAATGGTAGGGCCTTGGCTGTTCACAGCGCTGTCACCCTCTTGAGAAGGACGGCAGGCACTGGGAGTGGCAAGCCGCTAGGGATATACATTTCCAGTAGTACTCCGCCATCCCAATAAAGGCTGGCCTGCTTCTTGGTTGGGGGAGTGAGCCAATATCTGAGCGCTTCCCCCTTGGCCAGTTCTGGCCATATTCAGCCGCTCCCCACCCTGTGACCCAGGAACGACGACTCCTCGGCCACCCCCTCTTTACACTCTCCAGCCTTGATAGTCAGTCCGCAATCCTGCAGGCGGCCCAGCACCCTCTTCGCTGGGACACAGGTTCCTCCCCGGTCGGGCTGAAGACACGGGTATGATCCATGTACGCCGGGCAAAATCCGCCACCCCCCAGTAACTCCCCCCTGCCCCGGCGCTGACAGGTGGTGGCGCCCCCTTGAGGCCAAAGGGTAGGACCAGGAGCTCAAAGAGCCCTATGGGGTGGTGAAGGCAGATTTCAGCCTGGCATCTGGGTGCAAAGGCACCTGCCAGTAGCCTGGTGAGATCGACAGTAGTAAGGTAATGCCCCCCACGCCCAACTTGTCTAGAATTTCATCTGGCCTCGGCATTGTTCACCTCCTTCCGCTGAGTGATGACCTTAAAGGGCCCGTCCCAGGCAGCTCGGAGCGTATTCTCCCCCGCGGGGCTGAGATCCATGAGCTCATTCCCTGTGATGCCATCGGAGCGGGCACATGCTGTGCAGTCAGACCAGCCCCCCGCTTCCCTTGGGCCCTGGCTCGGTTCTCCCTGGCAAAGCTTTCCCAGCAGGACAGCACGTCCTCCACCACTGAGTCTCCACGGAGGGAGCCTTTCCCCTCCCCCTCAGCCCAGCAGGGCCAGGGTCCCTCACTCTCCTCCCATACAGCAGTTAAAGGGGCGAACTCTGTAGATTCCTGGGGCACATCCCAATCAGTGAACAGCAGGGACGGTGAGCATTTGTCCCAGGCCTGCAGATGTCGTTCCATAAACGTCCTCGGCATCATGGTCAGGGCCCCAGTACCCTGCCCACCAGCTGTTGGACTGAGGGGGATGTGCCGAGGCCCAGGTGGTCCAGGCCCCACATTTCCCCCACAAACCCTGGAGCAGGGCTGACGTGACATTGGACCCTTTGTCTGTAAGGCCTTGCTGGGAACCCCACTCTGCTGAAAATGGTCAGCAGAGCACATCTGCCCCGTGCCTGCCTCGATGGAGGACAGCCGCTGGCGCTGTGGGATGGCGAAATCCACCACTACCAAACGACATGTCTTCCACCTGGGTTGCCTTGCTAAGGGACCCTAGAATGTTTACAGCCACCCTCTGAAGACGTCCTGCCTGGAGGGTCTCAGGGCTGGGAGGGTTACCAGTTTTGGTTGGATGTATTCCTAAAGGTTTCATCACAGGACATAATCTTTAATTCCTGGAGATTCCAGGTCAATCCTGGAAGGCTGGCAACTCTAGGGCTGCTTTAGACTTAGCCTGGTCTCTCCCCACCCACTGACCGGGGTCACAGGCAGGCAGTAAAAGCTCCAACCAGACCACGTTCTGCGGCAGTCCTGACAGGGTGCACTGGATCCCCTGATGTCCTGAGCGAAGGATGGTCTGAGCCAAGGACAACAGCCTGTGGCAGCACCTCTGGAGAGCCATCAGCTGCCTCCTGATGCCCCGAGGTTCAGTGTTCCCTGGGGACCCCGCTCCTGGTACAGGACTCCCTCTCACACAGGGATCCAACCAAGAAGCAGGCCAGCCTTTATTGGCATGGCGGAGTACTACTGGAAATGTATATCCCTAGAGGCTTGCCACTCCCAGTGCCGCACTGTCCAGGCAGGGCCAGGGGGACAGCGTGGGCTGGACGGATGTCAAAGGGCTCTCTGCATGGGAAGAGGCCCTAAGCCAGGACCCAGTTCGCATGAACTCGGTCGCAGACAAACCCTTCCTGCTGCAAGCCAATGCAAAGGGGGAGAGACACCCGAGTGATACCTGCCCAAGACACCCATCTCCAGGGATCGGAACTGGGCCACCACTGAGAGCATGCCTGGCCGCTGGGTGGACTCCAATCGCCGGCTGTGGCTATGGGGCTGGGGCTTTCCCTGAGCCCTCGCCTCTGGCGTGGCTGCAGCTGATGGAAAGGGCTCATGCGAGCGAGTCTGCCCTGCCAGGACTCTGTTAATGGGACGGCAAAGGTTCTCATTGATCCTGTGCCACGAAAAGGAGCATCCGCATGGCGCCAGCCCACGCTCAGTGCAGTCTTCAGGGGGAACCAGAAAGACACGGGCTGAGCAATGCGCCCCGAACACCCGAGGTTCAGAGGCAGCGCTCAGCACGGGCCGCAGCAGGACACTGGACCGAGAGGTGAAGGAGGCTGTGCTAGAACTGGGCTCACAAAGACCCAGCAGCTCCCGCCTGGGACTGACAGAGACAGGGCCGGGGAGGTCACAGCTTTCATTGGCCCACCCAGAGGAAGCTCGGCAGCTGTCTCCCTCCCCAAGAGAAGCTGCTCCAATCACCCCCCTTGTCTCCCTACACTGGGACCCACAGCCCAGACCATTCTATATAGGCCCAATGGCATGTGATGGGATGTTAGATGGGGTGGGATCTGAGTTACCCAGGAAAGAATTTTCTGTAGTATCTGGCTGGTAAATCTTGCCCATATGCTCAGGGCTTAGCTGATCGCCATATTTGGGGTCGGGAAGGAATTTTCCTCCAGGGCAGATTGGAAGAGGCCCTTGAGGTTTTTCACCTTCCTCTGTAGCATGGGGCACGGGTCACTTGCTGGAGGATTCTCTGCTCCTTGAAGTCTTTAAACCACGATTTGAGGACTTCAATAGCTCAGACATAGGTGAGAGGTTTTTCGCAGGAGTGGTGGGTGAAATCCTGAGGCCTGCGTTGTGCAGGAGGTCGGACTAGATGACCATAATGGTCCCTTCTAACCTAAATATCTATGAAACCGCTCCACAGCAGCCTGGCTAGGTGAGGTCCTGGCGCTGGCCCGTTGGAGCCCCGGGGTAACTTTGCGTCTCTGTGCGGCACAGGGGACTCCCCAGCCCCGTGGCCAGGGATAATAACCCAGCTCTGCTTGGGAGAGGCTGCCACAGGCTGAGCTGCCGGGATCCCCGAGGGGGTGAAAGTCTCTGACTGGGGCTCTGCGTAATGGGGCTCCCCGGCAGAGCTCATGGCATCAAACAGGCGGGCTGGAGCCAGGGCTCGGGCTCAGAGGCGTTGAAGCCACATGGCCGACCCTTGTGTGACCCCGTTGGGTGGTGCCAGGAGACGGCAGGCCGCAGCGTAGCACAGATCCTGTGAATCATGATGGGGGCCCCCAATCCCAGCCTGCCCTCCCCCCCAATCCCAGCCTGGCCAGCATGCCAAAGGGGGGAAAATCCTCCCCCTGGGCCCAGCCCAGCCCCCCAATCCCAGCCTGGCCGGCATGCCAAAGGGGGGACACCTTCCCCAGATCCCAGCCCGGCCCCTCCGATCCCAGCTTGGCCAGCATGCCAAAGGGGGGACATCTCCCCCAGATCCCAGCTCAGCCCCCCCCCCAGTCCCAGCCTGGCTGGCATGCCAAAGCGGGGACACCTCCCCCAGATCCCAGCCCAGCCTCTCCGATCCCAGCCTGGCCAGCATGCCAAAGGGGGGAAAATCCTCCTCCTGGGCCCAGCCCGGCCACCTCTCCACCCTTGATTCCAGCTGTGACGAAGTGGGACTGCTCTTAATGTTTCCTCTGAATACTGTAGCGGTGCCTCAGTTTCCCCTATGCATTTCTTAAGTCTCTAGATGGTGGGATAAGGGAGAGTAATTGTTGCAGAGCAAAGGGCCAGAGTACATAAATGGCTGACACTCTGTTGCCTTGCAACTGATGGCCTGGGCCCTCCCCCCCCAAGGTGAGAGCTAAAGAGTTGGAGAACAAAGGAATCAGGACAAAGCCCAGAGGAGGGGGGGCTGGAGGGAGCTTCAGTTTGGGGCTGGCTGGGACATGGAGTGAAGTGCAGATGTGATTGTCTGGCTCACTGCCCCCCAGAATGGACCCAGCTGAGGGATCCTGTTCTCTGCTCCTACAAGCTCTGTTTTAGACCATGTTCCTGTCATCTAATAAACCTCTGTTTTACTGGCTGGCTGAGAGTCAAGTCTGACTGCAAAGTTGGGGCGCAGGACCCTCTGGCTTCCCCAGGAGCCTGCCTGGGCGGACTGGCTGTGGGAAGCGCACGGAGGGGCAGAGGATGCTGAATGCTCTGAGGTCAGACCCAGGAAGGTGGAAGCTGGGTGAGCTGTGTGTCCTGCAGACAGGCTGCTCCCAGAAAGGAGACTTCCCCAGAGTCCTGACTGGCTTCGTAGGGAGCAGTTCCAGAGCATCGCCCGGGGACCCCGTGACACCAGCCCAACCCCCAACCCTGATCTTGGCACACACACACACCCCTGATCCCAGCCCAGCCGGCATGCCAAAGGGGGACACTCCCCCCGATTCCAGCCCAAGCCCCCCTTCCACAGTACCTTATGGTGCCGCAGCAGGAAGGGCAGCAGCATCAGCATCCCCCCATCGTGGACGATCCACCAGACGTCAATGTGGCCCTCAGAGAACCGCTCTTGGTTGCCCGGGAACATGGCAACATTCTTGGTGACCAGCAGGGCCAGGTGGCCGGCCGTGGTCTCCCGCACCAGCTCTGTGGGGAAGGGCTGCAGCTTAGGGCAGGGGCAGTGCAGAGACCAGCCCCCCCCCGCAGCAGCGTGAGGGGCTGCTGACCCACCAGTGTGATGCCCTCCCTGCCCCCACCAGGAGCGCCAGGCACGTGCCCAGAGCACTGCATCCCCACAGAGCACAGCAGGGGCTTCTGGGCTTCCTCCTCTGTCCCCTCTGCACAGTGCCCAGCACTTCCCCGAGGGGCCTGCTTCCAACGGGGAGAGGCCGGCTGTGCCCTGGGCCAGGCTGGGGCTGCTCAGCGCCAGCTGGGGCTGCATCCAGCTGCTCCCTTGCCCCCACGCGCCCGCTATGAGGAGCATCCTTGGTGGCTAGGTGAGGACCCATGACGGGATGATCATGCCTAGCATGCACAATCCATCGCTTCCTCCCAGCTTCAGGCACCACCCCTGGGGGAGCTTCTGGGTGGCTCTGCTTTTGCTCATTTGGGCATCTGTGGATGTGTGCACGTGTGTGCAGCTCTGTGTGCGTGGCTGTGTGTATACACAGACCTTTCTGAGGGAACCTGTGTCTCAGAGCTGAGTGCTGCATTGAGCTCTGGATGCGGTAGGGCTGGAGTCTCTTCTCTCTTGTGGCAGTGAGTTCCACAGGCCAGGTACGACCCCCACAAGGAAGGTTCTGCCTCCCGCACTCCCCCATTGGTCAATAGCTTCCCATCCCAATGGGATGTAGCTGTCACGGGACGTTGAGGGAGCTGGGACAGAGCCCAACGTGGCAGTGGCCCAATGCAAAGCAGGGCCCAGATTGGCAGAGCGGCTCGGGGTCCCCAGGGAGAGGAACAAGCCAGTGCGTTCTCACAGGAGCTCAGCTGGTGGCCACAGGAGTGATCCCAAGAACAAGGCTGACCCCTCTGCTCTTAGCGTGGGATGGAGGCCCCCCCCCCCCCACAGTAACCCTCTGCATCGGCAGCTGCAGCAAGGACTGGGCTGGTTCTCAAGAGCGTCCCACTTCCTGCTTTGGCCCATGCAACCGCATTAGAACCAGAACCCCTCCCTCCCGACCCACCGCCCTGCCGCTGTCCCTCCTTCCCCACCCACAGCCCTGCTAGGCCAGCCTTGCCGCTGCCCCTCCCTCCTGACCCACCGCCCTGCCGCTGTCCCTCCTTCCCCACCCACAGCCCTGCTAGGCCAGCCTTGCCGCTGCCCCTCCCTCCTGACCCACCGCCCTGCCGCTGTCCCTCCTTCCCCACCCACAGCCCTGCTAGGCCAGCCTTGCCGCTGCCCCTCCCTCCCGACCCACCGCCCTGCCGCTGTCCCTCCTTCCCCACCCACAGCCCTGCTAGGCCAGCCTTGCCGCTGCCCCTCCCTCCTGACCCACAGCCTCCTGGGCTAATTGAGGGTTTACACAGCACCAGGCACTGCTGGTTTGTCCCTTCCCCTCCTGCTCCCCCAAGCTCCAGAGCCGTGAACCCTGCTCAGAGTCGTGGGCTGCCAGGCTGGCTCATACCAATGAAGTTCCTCCAGGTCTGGTGATCTTCCTTCTGCCGCCAGTTGCGTGGCCACCCCACCAGCACCGTGTTGTGTTGCAGCCCCCCGAGCCCACTGGACTGGATGAGGTGGGACATGCCATCCCGCAGGTTGGACGAGATCACGACCTGGCAGAAGCCTTTCACCTTCTCAGCTTCCATCAGGCGGCGCAGGGACTGCCCCGGGGAGAGACAGGGAGGGGAATTAGCAACGGCAGAACAGCGCCTCTCCCACGTGGCACAGCACCCCGGGGCTGTCCAGATGCCAGCTGCACCCAGAACCCTCCATGAGCAGGGTCTCCTGGAGCCATGGCCCTGGGCAGCGGGCGAGGCAGCCAGAGGTGTGGGCAGAAGGAGGGCAGCATGCTCGGCCGGGGGCACGTGCCAAAAGCTCACAAACCCCCCGTCGGCCAGGAGCATGGGGGCGCTGCCTTGGCATTGCCAGGCAGCATGCTGAGTTAGCGCGTGCCGCCCGTAATTTCTGTGCAGAGCTGAGGGGCGTCCCCGTGCCAGGGCCCGACATGCAGGGAGGGCAGCAGTTAGAATTATTTACTCACAAAAATTATAACATGTCACCAAGAGGAGAAATTGTTTGGTTACAAGCTCCTAATCCTATTAGGGGGAAGCCTAGCCATGCGTGGGTGCGCCTGGCGAGGGGGACTCCCCCGGCAACCCAGCGAGCAGGGCACAGAGCAGCATTTCATGCTGCCACTGCCCTGGGCACATCCCCTCCCCATTTGCTAAGCCCCCCGGCTGCCCTCCCAGCACATCCCCTCCTCACACTCTCCACCCCAGCTCCCCCCTCCCAGCACATCCCCCCTGTGACGAAGTGGGACTGTTCTTAATGTTTCTTCTGAATACTGTAGGGGTGCCTCAGTTTCCCTTATGCATTTCTTACGTCTCTAGCTGGTGGGATAAGGGGGTGTAATTGTTGCAGAGCAAAGGGCCAAGGTACATAAATGGCCGACACTCTGTTTCCTGGCAACAGATGGCCTGGGCCCTTCCCCCCTGCAAGGTGAGAGCTAAAGGGTTGGAGAACAAAGGAATCAGGGGACCTCCTGGCCCGGGGAAAGGGACAAAGTCCAGAGGAAGAGGGGCTGGAGGGAGTTTCAGTTTGGGGCTGGTTGGAGACATGGGGTGAAGGGCAGACGTGGTTGTCTGGCTCATTGCCCCCAAAATGGACCCAGCTGAGGGATCCGGTTCTCTGCACCTACAAGCTCTGTGTTAGACTGTGTTCCTGTCGTCTAATAAACCTTCTGTTTTACTGGCTGGCTGAGAGTCATGTCTGGCTGCGAAGTTGGGGGGCAGGACCCTCTGGCTTCCCCAGGACTCCGCCTGGGTGGACTCGCTGTGGGAAGCGCACGGAGGGGCAGAGGATGCTGAATGCTCCGAGGTCAGACCCAGGAAGGTGGAAGCCGGGTGAGCTGAGTGTCCTGCAGACAGGCTGCTCAGAGAGAGGAGACTCCCCCAGAGTCCTGCCTGGCTTCGTAGGGAGCAGTTCCAGAGCATCGCCCGGGGACTCCGTGATACCCCCACACTCTACACCCCAGCTCCCCCCTCTGAGCACATCCCCCCACACACTCTATGCCCAGCCTCCCCCCCTCCCCATGCACATCCCGCCGTCCCGTCCCGCTTTCTGGTGATGGACGTGTCTGCAGAGGTCAGTGAGACAGAAGCCGAGGCTGTTGGCCTGCGTCACAGCAGCTCTCAGCTCCCACACATCTGCCCCCTCTGCTCTAATCCCAGCTTTCCCTGCACCATCCCGCCAGCGGGCCCAGCAGGCTGGGGTCACAGTGAGACCTGGCCCAGTGGGGATGCCAGGGTCCCAGGGCCATGCTCCCCTGGGGCCGTCCGGTGCCAGCTGCTGTGAGCCGGCTGCGGCCCATGGCGGCAGGCACACCCGACAGTCGTGCCAAGTGGGGGTGGAGGCAGGCCAGGCTACTGCAGGTGTGGGGAGGGGAATCTGGGAGCTTTGCAAGGCCCTGGGAGGACGTGCGCAGCCAGGAAGTGTCCCTCTGCTCCCAGGCCAGGGGAGAGGCCCCATGGCAGCACACCGTGGCACGGAGCTCCTGCATGGGCTGCAGCCCTTGGTGGGGGGGTAGCCGGGTGAGGGGGTAGCCGGTGACTGAGGAAGGGAAGTGGCACCAGGGGCGGTGCTGCCCTCACCTCCTCCGCCCGCTGGGCCTGCAGGTGATTCTCCAGGAAGGTCCCTTCCAGCACAGAGCCCACAATTGTCAGCCCCTTGCCGGCTTTGAGCTGCGAGGTGAGAGACAGGAGCTGCGGGTGCACCACGTTCTGCTCCTGATCCACTCGGACCAGAACCAGCAGCTGAGGCCTGGGAAGGGAACACCCTGGGGTTAAACACTGGCCATGCAAAGCCCCCACATCCCGTACCACACCCGCCCCAGGGGATCAATGACCCTCCATCCAGTGCCTGCCATGCTCCCCCGTCACACAACCCTAGGGCGCAGCCCAGCATGTGCAGCAGGTGCCCCCAGCCGTCTGAACCCCAGAGCTCAAACCCTCTGCCCCTTTTGTGACGAAGTGGGACTGTTCTTAATGTTTCCTCTGAATACGGTAGTGGTGCCTCAGTTTCCCCTAGGCATTTCTTAAGTCTCTAGGTGGTAGGATAAGGGGGTGTAATTGTTGCAGAGCAAAGGACCAGGGTGTGACGAAGTAGGACTGTTCTTAATGTTTCCGCTGAATAGTGTGGGGGTGCCTCAGTTTCCCCTGTGCAGTTCTTAACTATCTAGAGGGTGGGATAAGGGTGTATGATCGTTGCAGAGCCCTAGAGGGACTGGTGTGTGCAGGGGTCTGGACACAGAGAATGGCCGACACCCTGTTTCCTGGCAACGGATGGCCTGGGCCCTTCCCCCCTGCAAGGTGAGAGCTAAAGGGTTGGAGAAGAAAGGAACCCGATGACCTCCTGGCCCGGGAAAGGGACAAAGCCCAGAGGAGGAGGGGCTGGAGGGGGAGTCAGTTTGTGGCTGGCTGGGGACGAGGAGTGAAGTGCAGATGGGGTTGTCTGGCTCACTGCCCCCCCAAAATGGACCCAGCTGAGGGGTCTGGGCGGACTCGCTGTGGGAAGCGCACGGAGGGGCAGAGGATGCTGAATGCTCCAAGGTCAGACCCAGGAAGGTGGAAGCTGTGTGAGCTGTGTGTCCTGCAGACAAGCTGCTCCCAGAGAGGAGACTTCCCCAGAGTCCTGACCGGGTTCATAGGGAGCAGTTCCAGAGAATCGCCCGGGGACTCCGTGACAACTGGTGGCAGAGATGGGATGTACTGCACCCCATGGATGGCGCTTCCTGCAGTAAGTGACTGGGGAGCAGTAAAATGAAGGGGGATTGACGAGGACCAGGCGTGCTGAAGGCACAGAGAGGAGCGGTTTCGGGGGGCGGTTAACCTCTGGAGTGTGTGTCCAGCGAGAAGGACTGTGCAGTAATGGGGTCCCCCTGGGGACTGTGGTGAGCAGTCTCAGGGGTGGAGGAGCCTGCGGCTTGGCCCTGGGAGAGAGAAGGACTTTTGCAGTAACAGGGTTTCCCTGGGGATTGCAGCGAGTGGTCCCAGGGGCAGAGGAGTCTGCCGCTCAACCCTGGCAAAGAGGTGGTGACCTCAAGAAGGGCTGGCACACTAAGGGTTCTCCCTGGAAACCGTGGGGAGCTGAGAGCACATGGGCCTGTGAGTCCACAACAACTTGGGAGGAGCGGAGTGATGGCCTGTCACCGTCTCCTTAAGAAGGACACTGTAACCCTGTGCAGAAAGAGAGGGTTGAGCGTTGGAAAGTTCACCAAAGCAGAGTTAATCGTGCAGCTGGAGGAGGATGACCGCTCTAAGGAGCAGATTCCTGACCCCAAATGGGGCTATAGCAGGATCTGGGAGCAGCTGGAGCGGGAGCCAGGCATCCCCAAGACTCCTGTCCCCGACCAGACGAGGGTCTTCAATCGGGTTCCCCATCGGGGGATCGGAGACGGACGGGCTTGGAGCTGAGTCCGAGAGAGCAAGAGGACTGTGAGAGACAGTGAGAGCCCGAGAAAGAGCTGCAGAAGCAGCAGCAGCATGAACTGGCGGTGGGGAGCGGAGAGGCCTAGGGGACCTCCCAGGGGTGAGTGGGGATAGACCCCGGGGGGCCAGTTCCGCAGGGAACCTGGAGACTACATTGCTGCCCCTGGTTAAGGAGGGGCGGGATGTGGATGCCACCTCACTGCCTTTGAGCAGGCTGGAAATTTGAACCAGGGGGACCCTGTGGAAAAGCCCCGGTGTCTAGCTCCCTTGCTGGGTCCCAAGGCCATAGACTCCGTCAGCCAGATGGATGGGGAGGTGGACAGGCTCCCACTCCTGACCCCAACCTATATGTCTGTGTGGAGTTTCCTGGGGTCAGGCCCCTCGGACCCCCAGTGGGAGCGGAAGGTGATGGTCAATGGGGAGACATTCCTGGGGTGGCGAGATCCTGGGACAGAGGGAACTGTTGTCAGGCCCTGGATGGTGCAGCCTCAGATGCTGAGGGGCTGTGTGAGCTGGGTGAGGGTCCCAGGGATGAAGCCCCTCGCCCTGCCTATTGCCCATATCCCTGTGTAGACACCAGACGGGTGGGGCTGGCTGGCCGTTGGGGTTCTCCAGGATATCAGCTGCGAGACCCTGTTGTGGGGTGACTGTGTCTCTTTGGGACAGGATCCAGGCCCTGCTCCTGTAATGGCCAAGGATTTGAATTTGAATCTAGGGAACCAATCGGCAGAGAGGGAAATGGTCAGTGAAAATGCAGATGACCTGGCTGGCAGTGGGGAGGAGCTGCTAGGCTCAGGGTACCTGCCTGCCTGTAACCGGCTCCTGGGGTTGGGTGCGACAGAGAGATGTTCCCTGACCCCCTGCACACCGGAGAGGAGGCTCACGCTGGCTCTGATGCTGTAAGGAGAGCAGAGAGCTTGCTGCCTACCCCCACGGGGACAGTAAGGGCAGCGCTGAGCATGGGGGGAGCTGAGACCACAGCTGAGTGGGGGACCCACAGGCAGGGCAGGTCGGCTGCCAACCAGGTTTGCCTTGCTCAGAGGCGCTGCTGGGAAGTGATCCCACGGCAGGGAGGGAGCGACGAGGGACAGGGCTCAGCGGGGCTGTGACCCCAGGCCCAGCCAGTGAGAGGGGAGACTGGGGAGCTGAGTCTGCAGAGCAGAACAGCTGGGTAGTTAATCTCTCGAGAATGCAGGGGATGGCAGGTCTACTCTCATCTCTAGACACTTTGGCTAGGACTTGTTGTCTCTCAGTGACTTTAACATCTAGTTCCTTGTGGAAGCAGAGGTTGGTAAGGGAAGGAAAACAGAGCTTTGAGAGCACAGCTTGTAAAAGGGAACCTGAGAAGGGTAACCGTAATTTGCTGGAAGTAGCTCAGGATAGTGAGAAGAGCAGCAGTTTATCTGTTGGGAGTGGAAGGTGCTTGGTAAGGGAAGTTTGGAGGAGCTTAGGCAGCCTTGTGAGCTGATGGCTGTGTCTAGTCAGCAGGGTGGGAAGGGGAGGAGAGTGGCAGATGAGTGTCCCTGGACCTTACCTGTTAGCTGGGTGGAGAATTGTGACAGTGAAGGGAATGTGCCTGTGTCTGTCAGGGGTATTGACTTGCCTATGGAGGGAGCTACCCCGGTCTCCAAGCAGTTGTCTGTGAACAGCCCTGTGTGCTGGGACCAGAGGAATGAGATCTCAAGCTGTGTCTGGGAAAGGAGAAAGTGTGTCTGGCTCGACATTGTCTATGCAGCAGACAGAAGGGGCCTTTCAGCCTGTGATGGTTGAGGGTCGTGCAGTTGTCTCAGAGCTGGTTCTGGATTCAGCTAAAGCCGAGGAAGGGACTGGTCCTAAGTTTGTATCTGCTCGGGAGAATGGCCCTGTAATTAGGTTGCATCCAGTTAGTGTCCTAGCAAAATCCCAGAGCCCAGACAATTTTGGTGCTTGTATTTTGCCTGTTGCTAGTGTGTTGTTGGGAAAGGGTGTCGCAACTCTGTCTAATCAGGGTGAGATCCTAGCCAGGGCACAAGGAGAGCAGAAAGGTGATTTGATTGTGTTACCTACTGATGGTGTGGAAACCTGTAGCAAGAAGGAAAAGATTCCTGAATTTATGTGTGTCAAAGGGAAGGAGAATGCTTCTAACCTTTTATCTAGGAAGTCTGTAAGTTTGCCTGAAAGGGGATTGTGTAGCAATCCACCTGATGGGCCAGAGGTGATTCTGGATTTAAGTGAGACCCAGAAAGAGTCTGTTGTTGCTCAGGAAAGTGTTCCTCTAGAGCAAGCCCTGGGTGAAGAGGGTAAGGGCAGAATTTCTGAGAAGGGTGAATTGTTGCATAGAAAAGCCCCTCGGGAAAGGAATCCTCATGGAGTCTTTGCAAGCAGTTTACTGCAACTGAAGGGTGTGAAAGTGATTTAATCAAGAAAGTTTCATTTCCTAACAGCCAGAAATTTTCTGTTGTGAATGGATCCACTGACTTTCCTGTTGAAGGATCCAGTGTGGATAGCTTTGAGAAGGTCTCAGATGGAGTGAAAGCTGTTAAGAAAGTTAAACAGTCCTATAACCAAGTGGCTGTGTTAGGCCAGCATGTTGGGGAGACAAGGTTGTTGAGAAAGGAATGTCTCCATGCTGATTCTGTAAGTTAACAGTCTGTGTCCCAGGTGAAGAGGGTGCTGGGCTGCCTCAAGGAGGCAGGACTGATGGTAAAAGCTTAAAAGTATAAGGTGGAGATAATCAGAGAGTAGCCTGTTCCCCAGACCAAGAAACAGGTCCAGGGCTCTATTGGGATGGTGGGGTAGTACTGGAGGTTTGTACCCCACTTGAGCTCCCTAGCTGCCCCCATCACTGAGCTATGTAAGAAGGTGAAGCCAGATGAGCTGGTCTGGACCGAGCAGTGCCAGAGGGCTCTCTGTGCGTTGAAGGAGGCTCTAATCCAGGGAGTGGTAAATCTGGTAAACCCAGACTTTGCCAAGGCCTTTATAGTGTTCACCGACACCTCAGACACAGGGCTCAGTGAGAGGCTGATGCAAGCCGATGCTAAGGAATGGGAGAGATGCTGGGGCATCCATGGAAACATTGGTGGGGTCGAACTTCCCCAGGTCAGTGGCTAAAGTGACCTCGCTCAGTTCCGTCTCGAAGCAGGGAGAGATGTGCCGAAGCGGGACTGTTAATGTTTCCTCTGAATAGTGTGGGGGTGCCTCAGTTCCCCCTAGGCAGTTCTTAAGTATCTAGGGGGTGGGGTAAGGGTGTATGATCATTGCAGAGCCTGAGAGGGCAGGTGTGTGCAGGGGTCTGGACACAGAGAATGGCCGACACCCTGTTTCCTGGCAACTGATGGCCTGGCCCTTCCCTGCTGCAAGGTGAGAGCTAAAGGGTTGGAGAACAAAGGAATCAGGTGCCCTCCTGGCCCGGGAAAGGGACAAAGCCCAGAGGAGGAGGGGCTGGACGGAATTTCAGTTTGGGGCTGGCTGGGGACATGGAGTGAAGTTCAGACGTGGTTGTCTGGCTCACTGCCCCCCAAAATGGACCCGGCAGAGGGGTCCTGTTCTCTGCACCTACAAGCTCTGTGTTAGACCATGTTCCTGTCGTCTAATAAACCTTCTGTTTTACTGGCTGGCTGAGAGTCCTGTCTGACTGCGGAGTTGGGGGGCAGGACCCTCTGGCTTCCCCAGGAGCCCCGCCTGGGCGGACTGGCTGTGGGAAGTGCACGGAGGGGCAGAGGACGCTGAAGGCTCCGAGGTCAGACCCAGGAAGGGGGAAGCTGTGTGTCCTGAAGACAGGCTGCTCCCAGAAAGGAGGCTTCCCCAGAGTCCTGACTGGCTTCATGGGGAGCAGTCCCAGAGCATCGCCCAGGGACTCCGTGACACTATGCACCCCCTTCCCCCCAATCCCCAGTCCCAGGCAGCGCCGACCCCGCCCAGGCCCCAGTATGTGAGCTCTTGGGGCAGGGCTCTCCTCTGGAGCTTCCTGAGTGCCCGTGCTGTGTCCGGCCCACCACCCGCTCCCTGCTCTTCGCCCCGTTACCGGCTAGAGACAGCCCCGCGCTCACCTCCAGTTCTTGGTGTGCGGGGGACCCTCCTCCAGCCGAAGCAGAGCGTAGCGGGCCGCACTGAGCGAGAGCCCTCGGATGCCATCGCCCCACTCCTTCTCCGCTCTGCCGGGGAGGGACAGGGGAACTCAGCACCTGGTAGGATTGGAGGCCAGCCCATGCTCTGGGGTCAGCTCCCCTCTGAGGGCAGCCGGGGTGGCCTGGAGCAGGCTGCGAAGGGGCAGGCCTGGCAGGGCCCAGCATGGGGGGTGCAGGCCACAGTCCCCAGTGGAAGGCCCTAAGCACTAGAAGCGCAAGTTTCCTGTCCCAGGGTGCCCCCAGCTCTCTCCGAGGCAGCTGGGCTTAGAGGAGGCACCAGGAAAGGCAGAGAGCGGGGGGGCTCTCAGGCCTGCTCCCTGGGAATAGGGAGCTGGGAGAGCAGCACCGCCAGGCCCCTGGGAGGGCAGAATGGGGACCCGCTAGGAGCTGGAGCCCAGAGTCAGTGGAGGAGCTGGGTGGCTGCTGATTGACTGAAGCTCGGACAGTCCAACGGCCTGAAAGAGCCTGTGGCAGCTTGTGAGCTAGGCAAAGCCTTGCCCTCCCGCGCCCCATCTCACACTTCACTTGGGGCCAGCGTCAGAGCTCCTGCCGCGGGCCTACGGGCAGGGTGAGCCACCGAGGGGTTTGGGGACCTCCCTGAGCGCCCGAGAGCAGAGCTGGGACTAGCCGCCAGGGCTCAGGGCTCCCAGCCCGGCGGCCTGAGAACTCGGCTCTTCTCCAGCCCGGGCATCTGCTGTTTCCCAGCGCGATGGAGCTTAGGAGGCTGCCACGGGCTCCGTTCAGCCCTGTGGCAGCGGGTGCCTGAGCCCAGGAGCAGTTCCCCGCCCCCCATGCCCCGAGTCGCCGCACTCACCCCCTGTATTCGATGTACTTGTAGATGAGGCCAGCGATGAGCATGGCCACAAGTGCGTAGTACCAGGAGCAGATGAACATCAGGGCCAGGCAGAGGCTCATGCCCAGGAAGGAGAGTGTCCTGGGGAGTGAAGGGTGAAGTGTCCTGGGGAGTGAAGCTCTCAGCCCAGTCCCACAGCACCAGCCTTCCAGCATGCAGAGCCCTGCCCCGGCACCTCCCCAACCTCCGCCCCAACCTGCCTCTGCGGTGCTCCATGGCCCTGGCAGTCCCCCGACGCCAGCCCCAGCCTGCCAGGAGGGACCTTAGGGGAAGGGATGCTGCTCCGTCTGGGAGCCTGGTGGCCTGGGCAAAGCGTAGGCCCCGGAGAAGCCAGAGTTGGCCCAGGTGAAACCAGCCTCAGGTAGTGTTGCCCCTCTTGGCCTCCATCGGCGCATACATGGGGAAACTGAGGCTCCGAGAGGGACAGGCCTGTTTCACCTTGCCCAGTGGGCCAGTGGGAGCAGCATCCTGAACTCACGGCTCTCGCTCCCCTGCATGAAGCAGCAGAGCCCATCCCTGGCCCAAGGCTGGCGCGTGCCAGGGTGGCAGCAGCACCCTCAGGAAGGGCAGGGCCCCGGGGCAGGATCCTCCTGCCGGCCAAACCCACCAGTGGTAATACCGGAACCGGGGCCGCCAGTTGGGTGTCCTCAGCAGCGTCTGCACCGCGCACGCCAGGTTGACAAACATGTAGCACATCAGGAAGAACCTGCGGGAGAGAAATGGAGACAGTGCCTGAGCCACTCACCCAGGGCCAGCGGCGGCCTGGCCCCAGGAGCCCCAGGGATGGGTGCGGGCAGGTACCATGCCCGCGCACTGGCTGTCCCAGAGGGCCCCCGGGGATCCCGGCTGCTGCCAGGCTCTCTGGAGGAAACGGCAGCTGGCAGAACGGTGCCATGTGGCCCTGACACTGGCCAAGAGACAGGGGCCGCATCCCACGTGGGACTGTCCTCTCCTCTCCTGCCAGCTGGGGGCACTCTCGCCAGCGCAGGGAGCGGGCACACCTCCCTGGCACCGCCAGCGGGAGTTCTCCTTCAGCCGGGGCCCGGGCAAGCCCCGGCGGTGCCATGCAGGCGCGGGTGTCACACAGCCAATCCCGACGGCACTGGACGCAGGACGCAGATCAGCTGGGCAGGGAGCCGCGCTCTGGGCCCTGAGCTGCAGTGGGGGGAGTGTCGTGGCTGGGCCAGTCTCGGGGTGGGGGTGGGGGGCGCAGCCAGAGCATGCTGCCTACATGGAGAGGATGGGGGCGACCTCATCCAGGGAGGCGATGAGGATCCCGATCTCGCAGATGCAGGCGGTGAGGAGCAGAGCCCAGGTGGGCTCCCCGTTGGCTTTGCCGTGGCCGAAGACCTGGGCAGAGAGCGAGAGAGAGGAGCGTTAGGGTGCTTGGGGGGGTGGGGGTGACACTGCCCCTTGCCCATCTCAGGCCCACCGGGAGGCCCTGGCATGGGGCAGGCACCCCTCGCAGCTGGCACAGAGGGCCCTGCAGGACGCATGTGTTCACAGGGACGTGGCTCTTTCTGGGCGCCGGGGGCCCGACGAGTTAGCGCGAGGCCCCACGGGCACAGGTGGGCGCTGACAGTGCAGGTCAGGGACAGACGAGCAAGGGGCCACGGGAGGAGATGGAGACTGGGCATGGACTGGGGGGGCCCAGTGGTCTGTGGGTGCCTCGGCTGCGTGTGGGGACCGGGGCAGTTGCTATGCAGGGGCCTTGGGGGGCAGCCATGGCAAGGCCTGACCTATGGCTGTGGAGCAGGCCCGCCAGGCTGAAGTGCGGGTGGATCTGGGCCCGGCTGCAGAAGGCCACGGCCTGCAGGGGATGGCATAGTCTGGCCAGCCCCGTTGCTGCCTCGGCCCAGCCATGCAAACTTCTCCCGGCCCTGGGCAACTCTGGCCACAGCCAGGCCCGGCACAGGTGCCAACCATCCACCACACACACTCTGCCCCAGCTCCATCTGTGCCTGCCTGTAGGGCTGGGGGCTCGCCCCGTCCACTGGCCACCCCAGCACTCAGAGCCCTTCTCTGCTCCCTGCCCTGCCCGCTATACTCCCCCCACCCCAGCATTCGAACAGCCGATCATACTGAACAGAGCGCTGGGCAGCGGTTCGGTCACTGCCCATCCCCCATACATTGGGCCCCCCACCCCGACATTCCCACTCCTAGCTACACCACTGGCTGTGCGGCTCAGGCAGCACCTGGGGGTCAGGGTGCCATGGGGAGGCTGGGGCAGAGCCTGGGGGTTGGGGTGCCATGGGGGGGATGGAGCAGAGCCTGGGGGTTGGGGTGCCATGGGGAGATGGGGGCTGAGGCAGAACCTGGGGGGCTGGGGTGCCATGGGGGGGATGGAGCAGAACCTGGGGGGTTGGGGTGCCATGGGGAGATGGGGGCTGAGGCAGAACCTGGGGGGCTGGGGTGCCATGGGGGGGATGGAGCAGAACCTGGGGGGTTGGGGTGCCATGGGGGGGATGGAGCAGAGCCTGGGGGTTGGGGTGCCATGGGGAGATGGGGGCTGAGGCAGAACCTGGGGGTTGGGGTGCCATGGGGAGGCTGGGGCAGAGCCTGGGGGTTGGGGTGCCATGGGGAGATGGGGGCTGAGGCAGAGCCTGGGGGGTTGGGGTGCCATGGGGGGGGATGGAGCAGAACCTGGGGGTCGGGGTGCCATGGGGGGGATGGGGCAGAGCCTGGGGGGTTGGGGGTGCCATGGGGGGGATGGAGCAGAGCCTGGGGGTCAGGGTGCCATGGGGGGATGGGGCAGAGCCTGGGGGGTCAGGGTGCCATGGGGCAATGGAGGCTGAGGCAGAGCCTGGGGGGTTGGGGTGCCATGGGGGGGATGGGGCAGAGCCTGGGGGTCGGGGTGCCATGGGGGGGATGGGGCAGAGCCTGGGGGTCAGGGTGCCATGGGGAGGCTGGGGCAGAGCCTGGGGGTTGGGGTGCCATGGGGGGGATGGGGCAGAGCCTGGGGGTCAGGGTGCCATGGGGAGATAGGGGCTGAGGCAGAGCCTGGGGGTCAGGGTGCCATGGGGGGGGCTGAGGCAGAACCTGGGGGTCAGGGTGCCATGGGGAGATGGGGGCTGGCACCGCACACTTCCCAGCACCACACGGTTCTGATGCCCGTCGATTGGCAGCTCTGCTGGGCTCCTGCTGGGGACAGACCAGGCCCTATGGCCGATGCTGCTCTCCGCTCCCCAGCGAAGCTGGTGGCCGGCAGCAGCCCGAAGGGCCCTGTTAATGGGGTGCAGGGGTGGAAGCAACCTGAGCGCACTGACAACAGCTGGGACGCTCCCAGGGCAGCTCCCTGTCCAGCCACAGCAGCAAGGCCCCCAAGGAGGCACCAGGTTGTCCCTGCCCCCCTGGGCATCCTCCCCCGTGCAGCCTCATGTTGTCCCACAGTGGGGGCCGTGTCTGAGAGGAGGGTCCCGGGGAGGCAGAGCAGTGTGTGCAGGGAGCTAGAGGACACATGTCTGCATGCATTAGCAGGAGAAGGCTGGGTTCCTCCAGCGAATGCTCAGAATGTGGCTGGCAGGGCGAGGGAGCGAATTTAAAATTAGCCTGTTCTTCCCTGGGGGGAGCTGTCGGTTTGGATTTGGAGAGATAAGGTTCTGGGAACACATCTTCAGCGAGCAGATGAAATATTAACTGGCACAATGGCAGCGCACTGGGCACAGGCCAACCTCCCCCAGCATGCTCCTCTGCAAAACCTGCCAGAGCTCTGCTGGGCCTCCCACCCCAGGACTCCTGGCCAAACCCGGGAAGCTCCCAGAGCCCAGGCCAAGAGCAGGGAGCAGAGTGGGAGCCAGGCGCCGTCTCCTCAGCCGCAGAGATCTGTAGCTCTGGTTCTGCCTGGCCAGGGAAAGGTGCCAGTGGGCAGAGGCTGTGCCGGGGTGCGGGCAGAGTGATCAGCAACCCCGACACCTGCTCCCCTCTCCTGCCCCCGGCTCCCTCCCACCCCCGGCACATCCCGCCCCAGCCCCCACTCCTCATTCCTGCCCCTCACTCACCCAGCAGCCTGAGGAAGCTCTCTCCCCAAGCCTGGAGCAGCTGGTAGCCTGCTCCTCCCTTCTGGCTGTTCCAGCCCAGGAGCTTAACTCCTTGCCCAAGTGGCCGGGGACCCACCCAGTGAGCCACCAGTGCTCCCCACACCAGCCCAGTGCGGGAGTGGCCAGGCCATGTGGATGGCGAGCAGGGGTGCGTTGCCCCATCACCGATCATCCTCCCAGGCTGTGAGGTCAAAGCCAATTCCAGCAAGATCCAAGCCAGGGCCGAATCCCAGTGCCTCGTCCCCGGACAGACCTCCAAGCTCACCCAGATCATGGCAGCTGGGAGGCAGGAGCTGCCCTGCAAGTGGGCCCAATCCCCAGCTGCCAGGCAGCTCTCACACACAGGACGGGCCTGCTGCACTAAAGTCTCATGCAAATGGGCCACGGTGCAAGCTGGGCCACAGATGCGCTGCGCAGACGCTGCCAGACCACGGCGGCGGCTGCTCGGCTGGGCACACTGAATTGCCAGAGAGCCAGCCGGGGCCTCCGCCAGCAGGATTCGCTCAGGGATCCGGCCTCGGAGCAGCACTTCCTTTGTCACAAACCATGTCAGCAGCCCGGCCTCCCTGCAGAGACCCGGCGCGGAGACACATCTGAGCTTAGCCCCTCAAGAGGGATTCAGACAAGGTGAAGGTGACTTTGCTCCTGCGGGAGCCAAGAACCTGCCGGTTCCCTGTGCAGCTGATTTCCTGGGCTCCAGCCTACATTTCTGCACCCAACCTTCCAACAAGGCCCCAATATGACAAAGTGGGAATTTTCTGTCATATTTTTATGAACCCTGTGAGTGCCTCAGTTTCCCCTCTGTTATTACCGGCGGGGGGGAAGGACTGTTGCTCTCAGGGCAGGCTAAAAGACACAGGTATGAATGATGTCTAGCTGTCTGAGCCTGAATGAGTCATTAAAACGGACTGGCTGAGGCTGATCCCATATCCATGGAGAATCTGAGAAGACAATGGCAAACGCAGTCACCAGGACACAGCCACCTAGGGCCCTCGGCCCAGGGGGGGATGGGTTCCCACTTCTCAGCAGGGAAGCTGGGCGGACCCCAGCTCGAGAACACGGGCCGGGGATGAGGCGAGGAGGGGCTCAGCGTCGGCTGCCGGAGGGAGTCGGGGCTCTCGCCTGGGAAGGGACCCAGCCGCTCCGAGAGATCCAGAGCCTGAACACGGAGGTCCCTGCAGCGTGGCTGGGCTTGGGGCCACCAGAACCGTCTGCGCTTCCACCTCTCTCGCTCTGGGCCACCCTACGGCCTCCCTGGGCCGTGTCCAGGGACGAGCAAATCCGCCTGTTGTGCCAACGCCGTGCAAGTGCCAATGAAAGGCTGGGTGAGGTGCGGTCACCCCGGCGTGGCGCACGAGGCTCTGCCAGGGGCTGGCTCAGTGGGACTGGCTGAGCGGAGCTGACGGTGCCAAGCAGGAGGGCTGGAGCCCTGCAGGTCCTGTCTAAGGAGCTGCACGGCCTGCCCTGTGCAGGAAGAGGGAGACCCCAGGGAGCGGGGGGGCCTGGCACACTGACGGGGCCTGTCCTAGAGACTGTTCCACGGCTGGGGGCATAGCACCGGTCCTGGGCGTCCGACACCCCGTCTCCATCCAGGCAGAGGGAGCCTCTGCTTGGAGGACAAAGGGCCATCGGGAGAGACCTGGAGACAGGGCAGGATGCCCTCTGGCAATGGGCATAGCAGTGGAGGTGGTCACTGCTGGCACCCTGCAGCGGGTCAGCCCCAGGTGAGGAGGGCATGTGCCCACCCCTATCCCGGGCTCCTTAGGGAGTGCACACGGAACAGAGGCGGCATTAGCCACAGTGCAGCAGGTCACTCACCCTCAGGAAGGGGACGATGCCGTCCCGGGAGATGGCCTGGAGGAGGCGGGGGGCTCCTGTGAGGCTCTGCAGACCTGCCCCACATGTGGAGAAGAAGGATCCAATGACAATCACCCATGGAGACGGCCAGGCGAGGGTGCCAACCACCAGATTCCCATTGACAGCCTCTCCAAACCTGCAAGGCACCAAGCGTTACTGGGGCAGGGCTGGCTGCCGTGTCTGACCTCCAGCCCTAGGGCCACCCCCCAGAAAGTAGCAGGGACAGTCCAGCGCAACCAGCTGTAATTGGCTTGGCAAGTCAGAAACCTGACAGTCAAGTAACGTTAACTGACCGCCTGTTATTACCATGGTCAAATATCATAAAGTACTCCAGCAAGAATGCCCTGCTGCAGCCATGCCCTTCCTCTCGGCTTGCATCATGGTGCCATCCCTAGCGAGCCCCTTCAGTGTCCTGAGCACCCACCCTGCTCCTGGCTCCCGCTGCCCGTCAGGAGAAGGGGGAGCTCGCTGAGAGCTGAGCAGCTGCATTGCCTGGGTCTTCCTGGAAAATGCTGCACTGGGAATGTTCCTCTTTGTCTGTGGATAAGGCCCTCCCCCTCCAGGGGGGTTTACAAAGCAAGTTAAAAGATATGGTCCCTGCCCGCATGGGCATAGTTGGGGAGGATTGCCCCCCCCAAAACTGCAAGCCTCAGACAGGCGTGGAACTCGCCCCCCCGCCACATGCAGCCCCCCAAAATAGAGAACTCAAACTACACCCATGCCTGCCCCCAGCCCAGGTTACAGGGACGAGCCCAGCATACAGCAACGGCCCTCGAAGGGAGTCTCAGCCATTAACCCTGCTCCCCAACCCAGCGGGAGAAGCTGCCCACTTTGCACAGCCATTGAGCAGTGTGAAGAGCTGCCCGGCAGCCGCTTGCCTAGCACACCTGCATGATGACTAGTCCTTATGCGTTTGGTTTGTTTCTGGTTAATTTCATTTTTCTTTTGTAACAGGTCAGTCCCGAGTCACATTCACTATTGACACATTCGCATTTCAAGGCTAAGCTCAGCTACTCAGTGTGACGAAGTGGGACTGTTCTTAATGTTTCCTCTGAATAGTGTGGGAATGCCTCAGTTTCCCCTAGGCAGTTCTTAAGTATCTAGGTAGTGGGATAAGGGTGTATGATCATTGCAGAGCCTGAGAGGGCAGGTGTGTGCAGGGGTCTGGACACAGAGAATGGCCGACACCCTGTTTCCTGGCAACTGATGGCCTGGACCTTTCCCCCCTGCAAGGTGAGAGCTAAAGGGTTGGAGAACAAAGGAATCAGGTGACCTCCTGGCCCGGGAAAGGAACAAAGCCCAGAAGAGGAGGGGCTGGAGGGAGTTTCAGTTTGGGGCTGGCTGGGACATGGAGTGAAGGGCAGACGTGGTTGTCTGGCTCACTGCCCCCCAAAATGGACCCAGCTGAGGGGTCTGGTTCTCTGCACCTACAAGCTCTGTGTTAGACCATGTTCCTGTCGTCTAATAAACCTCTGTTTTACTGGCTGGCTGAGAGTCCCATCTGACTGCGGAGTTGGGGGGCAGGACCCTCTGGCTTCCCCAGGACCCCGCCTGAGCGGACTCGCTGTGGGAAGCGCACGGAGGGGCAGAGGAGGCTGAATGCTCCGAGGTCAGACCCAGGAAGGTGGAAGCCGGGTGAGCTGTGTGTCCTGCAGACAGGCTGCTCACAGAAAGGCGACTGCCCTAGAGTCCTGACTGGCTTCATGGGGAGCAGTTCCAGAGCATCGCCCAGGGACTCTGTGACACTCAGAAAGGCAGCGTGGTGCCGGTTCTGGTTTTAGATCTTCAGTTTATTGCGTTTCGCATTTTCCTGAGTTAAAATAACTCAGTTAAGTAACTTGGGTTTTGTTGAAGGTGAAAGTTTCTCGGGGCTGCTCTACACTAGAAAATTCCATCGACCCTGCTCTGTCACTCCGGGTGTGAAAAATCGACACCCTTGAGCAGCGTAAAGTGACCTAACCGCGGTGCAGACAGCGCCAGGTCACTGGGAGAATTCCTCCCTCGACCTAGCCACGGCCTCGCGGGGCGGTGGATTCCCTGCCCCGTGGGAGACCCCTGCCCTCGGTGTAGGTGGCGTCTGAGCTGCAGTGGCTCAGCTGTGTGGCTGGAGCATTTCACACGCAGACAAGCCCTAAGGCTGAGCCAGTGGGGACCAGAAACCCTTTCTGTTACTGCTCTGTTATTAGAGCTTTTCCATAGTTCACCATTTTTGACATTATTTGACCAATACTGGACTGGTCAATTGACCAGTCGTGTTTGGACAGGTTCATTGTCCTGCCCTGAGCTTTAACCCCAGCAGCCTTGGCCGGCTGGTCCCAGGGAGCCACGGAGCGAGCGGGTGGCAGGGAGGAGAGAGAGCAAAGGTACAGTGGTAGGGAGGGGGGCAGCAAACAATCTAGTAACAACCCCCAGCCCCAGAAGCCTCACAGCGCTGCAGATCTCAGGGAGCTAGGCCTCCCAGCCCCATCTCCTGGGGGGGAAACTGAGGCTGCAGCAGGGGGTGGGAGGGCATGGCCCAAGGCCATTCCCCTTGGGGCCCAGGCCTCCCCATAGGGCGGGGGGGGCTCCGTTTTCTCTGACAGAGGGAAGCCAAGCCAGGCTGTGCATCATTTGGATCATGTCTATGTTGGCGACCCAGAAGCATCACCGCAGAGCACGACACGCAGCGCTGCCCTAGATACGCAACTCCAGGCTGCACGGCAGCTCCCAGTGAACAGCCCCCCACAGCAGCAGGATTAGCGGGAGAAACCAGAGCAGAGACACAGCAGAATCAGCTGGGGGGGCAGGGACACACAGGAGCCTCCCGCAATGCCTAGTTCCAGGTTTAGCCTCCCTAATGTCACTCCGAGGGCTCTGGGGCCACTGCCCAAGGGGGTGTGATCGCCTCCTCCATCCAAAGCCACTGCCACCCTCCCCCAGCCACGACTCCCCAGCCAGCCCCCCTGCTCCCCTCCATCCGAACCCTCCACCCTCTCCCCCCACCACTCTCGATCCAACGACCCCCCACAGCCACCCCCCACCTATCTGCTCCCCTCCACCCACCCACACCACCACTCCCTACCCACCCCTTCAATCCAAACTGCCCCCTCCATCCAACCACCACCCCCAACCTGTTCCCCTCCACCCCCCGCCCCCTCCATCCAAACCCACCCTCCCTCCACTCAGCCACCCCCGCACCTACCCACCCCCTCCATCCAGATCCACCACCCCTCCCCCCAGCCATTCCCCCTGCACAGCCCTGTTGCCCCTCAACACCCCACTGTTGGGGAGCGGCACTCACTTGTCACGGAGGACGACCCCCTCGATACAGGCGCCGAAGAGAATCACGGAGCTGATGTCTGCGGGTGGTGAAGGAAAGACCAAGCTGCAGCCCCCTCCCCCCCGCCACCCCCTGTGCCTGGGACCGCCAAGTGCAGCCACAAGGAGTAGGGGACCCAGGGCCACAGGGCTGAGAAGAGGGGCACAGATGGCAAGTCCAGCCCCCCATGAAGGCAGAGCATTTTCAAGGGCAGTGGAGTTCCCTGGGGCCCAGGGGAGCATGGCCAGTCTCCAGGGCAGAGAACAGGAGCGTGGGGAAAGCGCTGGGGACATGGCCCCTGCTGTGCAAATCCCCCTCCAATGGGGCCTGCAGGACACGAAACGCCCAGCATCTGCTGCTCCAACCCTAACAGGGGCCACAAAGCGCCCAGTGCCCGGCACCCGCCCTGGCCGCTCCGACCCTAACAGGGGCCACAAAGCACCCAGTGCCCGGCACCCGCCCTGGCCGCTCCGACCCGAACAGGGGCCACAAAGCGCCCAGTGCCCGGCACCCGCCCTGGCCGCTCCAACCCGAACAGGGGCCACAAAGCGCCCAGTGCCCGGCACCCGCCCTGGCCGCTCCGACCCGAACAGGGGCCACAAAGCGCCCAGTGCCCGGCACCCACCCTGGCCACTCCGACCCGAACAGGGGCCACAAAGCGCCCAGTGCCCGGCACCCGCCCTGGCCGCTCCGACCCGAACAGGGGCCACAAAGCGCCCAGTGCCCGGCACCCGCCCTGGCCGCTCCGACCCGAACAGGGGCCACAAAGCGCCCAGTGCCCGGCACCCGCCCTCACTGCTCCAACCCTAACAGGGGCCACAAAGCGCCCAGTGCCCGGCACCCACCCTGGCCACTCCAACCCGAACAGGGGCCACAAAGCGCCCAGTGCCCGGCACCCGCCCTGGCCACTCCGACCCGAACAGGGGCCACAAAGCGCCCAGTGCCCGGCACCCGCCCTGGCCACTCCAACCCGAACAGGGGCCACAAAGCGCCCAGTGCCCAGCACCCACCCTGGCCACTCCGACCCGAACAGGGGCCACAAAGCGCCCAGTGCCCGGCACCCGCCCTGGCCGCTCCGACCCGAACAGGGGCCACAAAGCGCCCAGTGCCCAGCACCCGCCCTCACTGCTCCAACCCTAACAGAGGCCACAAAGCGCCCAGTGCCCGGCACCCGCCCTCACTGCTCCAACCCTAACAGGGGCCACAAAGCGCCCAGTGCCCGGCACCCGCCCTGGCCACTCCGACCCGAACAGGGGCCACAAAGCGCCCAGTGCCCGGCACCCGCCCTGGCCGCTCCAACCCGAACAGGGGCCACAAAGCGCCCAGTGCCCGGCACCCGCCCTGGCCGCTCCGACCCGAACAGGGGCCACAAAGCGCCCAGTGCCCGGCACCCGCCCTGGCCGCTCCGACCCGAACAGGGGCCACAAAGCGCCCAGTGCCCAGCACCAGCCTGGCCGCTCCGACCCAAACAGGGCCACAAAGGCCAGTGCCAGCATCCGCCTGGCGCTCCGACCCGAACAGGGGCCACAAGCGCCCAGTGCCCGGCACCCGCCCTGGCGCTCCGACCCGAACAGGGCCCCAAAGCGCCCAGTGCCCGGCATCCGCCCTGGCCGCTCCGACCCAAACAGGGGCCACAAAGCGCCCAGTGCCCAGCACCAGCCCTGGCCGCTCCGACCCAAACAGGGGCCACAAAGCGCCCAGTGCCCAGCATCCGCCCTGGCCGCTCCGACCCGAACAGGGGCCACAAAGCGCCCAGTGCCCGGCACCCGCCCTGGCCGCTCCGACCCGAACAGGGCCACAAAGCGCCCAGTGCCCGGCACCCGCCCTGGCCGCTTCGACCCGAACAGGGCCACAAAGCGCCCAGTGCCCGGCACCCGCCCTGGCCGCTCCGACCCGAACAGGGGCCACAAAGCGCCCAGTGCCCGGCACCCGCCCTCACTGCTCCAACCCTAACAGGGGCCACAAAGCGCCCAGTGCCCGGCACCCGCCCTGGCCACTCCGACCCGAACAGGGGCCACAAAGCGCCCAGTGCCCGGCACCCGCCCTCACTGCTCCAACCCTAACAGAGGCCACAAAGCGCCCAGTGCCCAGCACCCACCCTGGCCACTCCAACCCGAACAGGGGCCACAAAGCGCCCAGTGCCCGGCACCCGCCCTGGCCGCTCCGACCCTAACAGGGGCCACAAAGCGCCCAGTGCCCGGCACCCGCCCTGGCCGCTCCGACCCGAACAGGGGCCACAAAGCGCCCAGTGCCCAGCACCCACCCTCACTGCTCCAACCCTAACAGAGGCCACAAAGCGCCCAGTGCCCGGCACCCGCCCTCACTGCTCCAACCCTAACAGAGGCCACAAAGCGCCCAGTGCCCGGCACCCGCCCTCACTGCTCCAACCCTAACAGAGGCCACAAAGCGCCCAGTGCCCGGCACCCGCCCTCACTGCTCCAACCCTAACAGGGGCCACAAAGCGCCCAGTGCCCAGCACCTGCTGCTCTGAACTGCACAGGGCCCATGGGGACACGAGAGTGCCCGGCACCCACCCTCGCCACTCCGACCCGCACAGGGCCCGTGGGGCCACAAAGCGCCCAGTGCCCGGCACCCGCCCTGGCCGCTCCAACCCGAACAGGGGCCACAAAGCGCCCAGTGCCCGGCACCCGCCCTGGCCACTCCGACCCGAACAGGGCCACAAAGCGCCCAGTGCCCGGCACCCACCCTGGCCACTCCGACCCGAACAGGGGCCACAAAGCGCCCAGTGCCCGGCACCCACCCTGGCCGCTCCGACCCGAACAGGGGCCACAAAGCGCCCAGTGCCCAGCACCCACCCTGGCCACTCCGACCCGAACAGGGGCCACAAAGCGCCCAGTGCCCGGCACCCACCCTGGCCGCTCCGACCCGAACAGGGGCCACAAAGCGCCCAGTGCCCGGCACCCGCCCTCACTGCTCCAACCCTAACAGGGGCCACAAAGCGCCCAGTGCCCGGCACCCGCCCTGGCCACTCCGACCCGAACAGGGGCCACAAAGCGCCCAGTGCCCGGCACCCGCCCTGGCCACTCCAACCCGAACAGGGGCCACAAAGCGCCCAGTGCCCAGCACCCACCCTGGCCACTCCGACCCGAACAGGGGCCACAAAGCGCCCAGTGCCCGGCACCCGCCCTGGCCGCTCCGACCCGAACAGGGGCCACAAAGCGCCCAGTGCCCGGCACCCGCCCTCACTGCTCCAACCCTAACAGAGGCCACAAAGCGCCCAGTGCCCGGCACCCGCCCTCACTGCTCCAACCCTAACAGGGGCCACAAAGCGCCCAGTGCCCGGCACCCGCCCTGGCCACTCCGACCCGAACAGGGGCCACAAAGCGCCCAGTGCCCGGCACCCGCCCTGGCCGCTCCAACCCGAACAGGGGCCACAAAGCGCCCAGTGCCCGGCACCCGCCCTGGCCGCTCCGACCCGAACAGGGGCCACAAAGCGCCCAGTGCCCGGCACCCACCCTGGCCACTCCGACCCTAACAGGGGCCACAAAGCGCCCAGTGCCCGGCATCCGCCCTGGCCGCTCCGACCCGAACAGGGGCCACAAAGCGCCCAGTGCCCAGCATCCGCCCTGGCCGCTCCGACCCGAACAGGGGCCACAAAGCGCCCAGTGCCCGGCACCCGCCCTGGCCGCTCCGACCCGAACAGGGCCACAAAGCGCCCAGTGCCCGGCACCCGCCCTGGCCGCTTCGACCCGAACAGGGCCACAAAGCGCCCAGTGCCCGGCACCCGCCCTGGCCGCTCCGACCCGAACAGGGGCCACAAAGCGCCCAGTGCCCGGCACCCGCCCTCACTGCTCCAACCCTAACAGGGGCCACAAAGCGCCCAGTGCCCGGCACCCGCCCTGGCCACTCCGACCCGAACAGGGGCCACAAAGCGCCCAGTGCCCGGCACCCGCCCTCACTGCTCCAACCCTAACAGAGGCCACAAAGCGCCCAGTGCCCAGCACCCACCCTGGCCACTCCAACCCGAACAGGGGCCACAAAGCGCCCAGTGCCCGGCACCCGCCCTGGCCGCTCCGACCCTAACAGGGGCCACAAAGCGCCCAGTGCCCGGCACCCGCCCTGGCCGCTCCGACCCGAACAGGGGCCACAAAGCGCCCAGTGCCCAGCACCCACCCTCACTGCTCCAACCCTAACAGAGGCCACAAAGCGCCCAGTGCCCGGCACCCGCCCTCACTGCTCCAACCCTAACAGAGGCCACAAAGCGCCCAGTGCCCGGCACCCGCCCTGGCCGCTCCGACCCGAACAGGGGCCACAAAGCGCCCAGTGCCCGGCACCCGCCCTCACTGCTCCAACACTAACAGGGGCCACAAAGCGCCCAGTGCCCAGCACCTGCTGCTCTGAACTGCACAGGGCCCATGGGGACACGAGAGTGCCCGGCACCCACCCTCGCCACTCCGACCCGCACAGGGCCCGTGGGGCCACAAAGCGCCCAGTGCCCGGCACCCGCCCTGGCCGCTCCAACCCGAACAGGGGCCACAAAGCGCCCAGTGCCCGGCACCCGCCCTGGCCACTCCGACCCGAACAGGGGCCACAAAGCGCCCAGTGCCCGGCACCCACCCTGGCCACTCCGACCCGAACAGGGGCCACAAAGCGCCCAGTGCCCGGCACCCACCCTGGCCGCTCCGACCCGAACAGGGGCCACAAAGCGCCCAGTGCCCAGCACCTGCCATGGCCGCTCCGACCCGAACAGGGCCACAAAGCGCCCAGTGCCCAGCACCTGCCCTGGCCACTCCTACCCACACAGGGGCTGGTTCAGACGCAGACAAGACCCTGCCCCCACCGCCCTGTTCTTGCCCCGGACCCTCTGCCAAGGATACAGACAGCAGACGTTGTGGCGATGGCCAGGATGGTCCCTGTGGGGATGGATTTCTGAGCATCGCGCAGGTCTCCTGATCTGTTGGAGCCGGCCATTATACCTAGGAAAGACAAGGGTACGTGCTATGGGGCACCGTGCCATGGAGGGGCGCATGGACGGCTCGGCCCAGCACTGGAGTGCAGAGCCCTGAGCAAGGCCACCGAGTGCAGCCCCGTTCCCCAGGGGGCTGGGCTCCAGCCCAGCTCAGAGAGCAGCAGCTGGCAGGGAAGGCCCAGAGCACATGGCACGTGGTGTGCGGGGGCTGAGCAGGGGAGCAGGCCCGGCTGCACAGGGGTTGCTGATCTCCCCTCTCCCCACCCCCTTTCCAGGTGGTTTCACACCCAACTCTCCACCCGCAAAATCAGGCTCCAGATGTGCTGATGTGGTTTCTCTCCTCCACCCTTGATTAGCTTAATCTGCAAAGGTCAATTAGAGGCGAGCAAGCGAGGAGCTGTGAGGCAGCAATGCCATGGGCAATGAGGAGGAGGGCAGGGCTCGTCCCTGGTGGCTGCCAGCCGGGGCTGCCTGGATTCTCACTGCTGCAGGGAAGCAAGGGCCAGGCAGGGCTAGGAGTCCTTGTGGAGCTGACCATGGGCAAGTCCCCAGGGGCCTACAGCTCAGCCCGGCGGAGAGGGTGCCTCAGGAAAAGCTGCCACTTGTAGCACGGCCTGAATTATTCATCGGACACAAGTCCATGTAAAAGTCATGAAAGGCTGGTGAGTTAGCAGCGTGCCGGGGGCGTGGGGCTTTCCTGCCCTGGGATTCCCCTGGCGTCACACGTCTGGGCCTGGCCTTGGGGTTCAGTTCAGCCCTCCTGGTCCAAACTCCGCTGGCTCTAGGGTCCAGCTCATGGAGCAGCAGGAGCATGTGCGGGCCACGCTGCTCGCAGACACGGTCTCCTACCGCGGGCTGGCCTGGCGCTGTCTTTGCTCCAGACCAGGCTGCTCCTGGGGGGCGGCTCAGGGGCTGCTTTGCTCAGTTATTTCCGCCCACTGGAGGGGAGCCAGAAATATCCGAGCGCTGGTGACGTCAGCGCGGAGGTGAGACATGCTGCCAGCCTGTCTGTGGGGCTGGGGGCTGGGTGGGGGAGGAGGGGCTCTTTGATCCTCCCCTGCACCCCCCACGCAGTCACGCTCCGAGCTGGAAGCAGAAATCAGAGGGACAGCCACAGGGTGCAGCTGCTGACAGCAGACATCAGAGAGGTGTGCAGCCAGCCAGCCATGACAGCCCCTTGCACGCGCACACGCATGTGCAGCCAGCTGATGCACACGTATACAGGGGAGCACATGCACATCTCACATGTGTGCCGGCACAGACAGACGCACGCACACACAAGTGCACACGGCACACACGCACACACAAGTGCACACGGCACACCCACATGCGTATCGGCACAGACAGACGCACGCACACACAAGTGCACACGGCACACCCCCACCCCTAGATGCACGCACACACAAGTGCACACGGCACACCCCCACCCCTAGATGCACGCACACACAGGTGCACACGGCACACCCACATGCGCATCGGCACAGACAGACGCACGCACACAGAGGTCTGGCATGGCACACGCACGCACCCCACACATGCGTCGGCACAGCCGACGCAGGCACCCAGAGGTGCACATGGCACACCCACACACCTACACGTGAGCCGGCCCAGCACAGACACACGCACACACACCGAGGCGCGCACCCCCACATGCATTCGGGCACAAGCCCCCAGCACCCAGCGGCTGCAGCTCCTACCTGTGACGGACGGGAAGTAGATGCCCACCAGCAAGGTGAAGTATGAGGTCATGTCGCTGAAGACGTAGGGCTGGTCCATGTCGATAACGGGGTCCACGAGCGACACCGAGGTCACCCCCTGCTTCTCCACAATCACCCCCTTGGTCAGGTACGTGCTCCAGAGATTCTCTGCAAGGGGAGCCGGGGAGGGCTGGGTGTTCACACGGGAGAAGCCCCTGCTCCAAGGTGCTCCGCCATGCCAGCTCCTGCTGCAGACACAATGAGGCATCCCCACACACCCATCACACAGCCCGGGGAACCCCACCCTACTCAGCGCCCCCCCCCCATCCCTGCGCTCAGGAAGCAAGCATTGTCACACAGGCTCAACCCTGAGGGCCGTCAGGCATGTCGGGGGGGGGTGGTCTGAGAATCCTGCAGTCGGCCCCCCATGATGGTCGCAGCCTGACCCCTGAGGGGGTGCCTACACTGCAGCCCGGGGCCAGAGACTTGTGTGAACAGAGCTCACGCTAGTGCGCTGTAAATGGTGCAGACGTTACGGTCAGCGAAGGCTCACTGCAGCTAGGACCCGGGCAGCAGATGGGCTTGGGCCCAGCTGCGTAGCCGGAGCCGCCGCAGGTGCCACATCAGCCACATGGCTACTGTTAGCACACTACTGCGAGCCCTGCCAGCACAAGTCTATCTACCCAGCAGGGAGACTCGCTCCCCACTGCCGTGTGGACACACCCTCATAATCAAAGGTCAGTTAACCTGTGAACCACTTTGTCAGCATTAACTGTGATCACTCTGGACATTCATGATCTCCATATACACATCCACTCCCTTTGGGATCTCTGTGACATCCTGTGGCAGTGAGTTCCACAGGCTAATTATACAATGCGTGAACAAGACTTTCCTTTATTAGTTTTGAATTTCCCATCTGTCAGTTTCACTGGCCGCTCCCTGGGGCCTGTGCTGTGGGACAGGGAGAACTGACGCCCCCTTTCTCACTGCTCTGCCCCATCCAGGACTGGATAGACTGGTGTCCTGCCCCCTCTGCTCCCCCGCCCTCGAGGGTAACAATCCCAATCTCTGCCAGCTCTGCCCACAGCTCTGTTTTTCCAGCCTTGCTTGTTCTCTTCACCCGTCCCTGACCCCTCAGCTGCGTGCGATGGGGCCCAGCGCTGCCCACAGGATCCGCACCATCGATTGATGCAAAGGTGCTAGAACGTTCCCCGTGTTATTCTCCACCCCGGCCCTTGTGCTGCCGAACAGCTCAGCTCTTTTGCCCACAGCAGAGGTCTCCACTGGCACCCAGCTCCCGTCCCTGGCAGTTAATCTAGACCCCTGGGGAGCTCTGCCGGGGAGCCCCTCCACCACACATTACTCACCCCTCCTCCCTGCACCCAGCGCCTCTGCCTGGGAGAGCGCCCCCTGATGCACCCTGGGGACACCTCCCCCTCGGGACTCCTCTCTTAGCAGGCCTGATCAGCACAGCCCTGGGGATTCAGGGTACCCAGAGCCCGACACAAGGGGGCTTTGCCACCCCCTCCCCAGCTGCTGCCGGGGTCTCATTGCTCTGACAGGGGACCCAGGACACAGCCACCAGCCGAGATCAGCAGCTCCAGCCTGTCACCACAAACACAGCTGATGGGGGGCTGGCACCGTGCCCTGATGCAGGCATCAGCGATCCCCGCACAGGAGAGCAGCCAATGGCAGCAGATCCCAAAGCCAAGAAGCTGGGGCTAAGTCTTGGAACACAAAACTCATGGCCAGAGAGACGCCCCACAGCCCCGCGGATATGCCAGCCCAAGACCACGAGCCACAACTCCAGAAGGACCGAGCACATTTAGTGGGTCAGCACCATGGTGCTCCCGAACCAGGCCATCCACCCCCTGAGCCGCCTTGGCCAGGGAGAAGGCCCCGCACAGCCCACGCGCTGGCCCTTTGGAAGATGCTGCAGGGGCTGGCTGGGCGTCTCCCTGCTGGATTCCCTACAGAGGGCCAGGGAGGGATCCCAAATCCAGAGCTCCGGGAGAGGCTGATCCAGCCCTCACCCCCACTGGGGGTTCTCTCAGCCCCTCCTCCTGGTCGCTTGCCCTCTCTCACCCGCTGTCTCTGCTGCTCGTTCCAGGTTGCTAAACCTTCACTGCTGGGAAGAGACTGCCAGCCCCACTTAGCTGTCATCCTTCGACACCCTGCACTGTGTCAGCCCAGCCAGGACTGCCCTCTCGGGGTGAGCCAGCCCAGCTCCCTGAACCTGGCCTCCGGACCGGGACCCACTCGCTGCCTGCACCGCAGAGACCCCAGTCCTGGCAGCCCTGCCACACCTCCTCCCTCCTGCAGCCAGCAGTCCCAGCACTGACTCTCCATCTCCAGCTTGTCGCAGGGCTGGGCCACTGGCCGTGGGCTCCCAGACTCCCCTGGACTGGCCAGCCTTTGCCATCTGCTGCTCACTCACCGAGAACACCCCACCGTGCAGGAATCTGGGCGTGCTGCCATCCGTGACCCTTCTGTCCTACCCACTAGGCAGGGCCTCTCCCTGCCCCATTAATCTGAGCTGCGGACACGTCTCAAGTGCTTCCTGAACATCTAGTAAACGACGTCTATTGGATGCCCCTTATCTGCCGTGGCAGCAATCGCCTGAGAGCGCTAAGCAGGGTAGTCACGCCTGGCCTCCCATGCCTGAATCCAAGCACCTTGTTTTCAACGCACCCTGCCCCTTGGCACCTCACTGGGCACCGCAGAGATTGCCGGGCTGCTGCAAGGGACAGATTTGCCAGAGGCTTTGCTACAAGTAGCAGATCCACGCTGAGCAGGCTCAGAAGTGATTGTTCAAAGATTCCTATCTTTATTATTGTCCAGCTGCTTTGCCCCAGCCATGCTGGCGGGTGCAGAAGGGAAGCTGCTGTGCAGGCTGACAGCGGGAATAAAATCCTCCAGCCTTTTACAATTCTAACATGGCTGCAGGGATTTTCCTCAGACTCCCATGCCCAAATGGGGAAAGTCTCAATGTAACTCCTGAAAGCCAGGGGCCAGGGAAAGCAGCGAGCATCTGGAACCAGGCCACACGGCCACAGCCTCCTCTAGTGTAGCACCCAAGCAAAGGATGACCCAGGAAAAGCAGATTGTAAACAGCTCCTGCCACAAACTTCACCAGAACTTCCTCTGTCTCTGGCCCCATTCCAGAGCCCTGGGTACAGAACAGCTTTTGCTCGCTAATCTACATATTAAAGCAGCAGATAAGTAACACCAAGGGGGTGATTACTTCTCTCTAAACCTCAGATCAATATCAGGCCTTCCCTGGGCAAAGAGGAAACAATGAGCCAATTCATTCAGCTCCAGCCCTGGAAAGTCTGCGGGAAGCCGGTGCACTGTGTCTGGCTCGAAGGGCGAGCCCCCGAGGCACTGAATCTTGGTTCATCCCATGGCTATGGGAGATGCACCTTCCCATGACAGCTACAGCCCAGACAAGGTTCTTCCCCACCAGTGACAACATCTCCACTGAGAATGAGCAGGAAGAGACACAGCGATGAGCAGCCCTGCATGTCAGCATGCCCTACTTAGGGGGGCAGGTCCTGCTGCCCCACAGAGCCACCCTCCCAGCCCCACGGCTCCAAGGCAATTGGAAGGTGGGAGATGAGCTTTCCTCACCTTTCAGCTGCTGGCCGGGCTGGTTTCTAACATGCACAAACTTCTCATGATCTTCAGCACCTCTCCCGACCCATACACAGCTCTGCTGGTGCCCCTCAGGCCTGACCCACAGCCCCCAGCTGCTCCAGTTCTGAGTTTTTCCTTCCCAGAGGCTAAGCCAGGCTCTGGGGAGACCAAGCAATAGGTCACTTGGGAGCCAGAGGGGGGCCGGAACCAGCGTTAAGCCCAGGTCTGCACTGGTGCCAGCCTGGGTCTGTCCACTCTCCCTCCCCCGCGCGGCTGCTCATACCTTTGATGAGCCCACTGGCAGCGCCCGGGATGCCCTGGATCTCGGTCACGTTGTTCCTCAGGAAGTACTCGTCACAGGTGGCGTTGAGGAATTTGGAGGTGCAGAACAGCTCCCACAGCTTGGAGCCCACTGTCTCATTCCCTTCCAGCACCAGCTTGGCACAGATGTCGAAGCCGTGGCGTGACAGTGTCCTGTTACCCAGCAAACAGACCCTGGGGGGAGAGGACACAAGCAGAGAATGTACCAGAGTCACCTCCTGCCCCGCCAGCCCCAGCCCCCTGCGGCAGCCCGCGGGAGGTGGGAGGGTGCTGCGCTGCTACTCACGGGAAGCTGGGGGGGTCGATGGCGGATTTGATGACCCCAGCGTAGATGGCCAGGATGGAGAGGATGACGCAGCCCAGGAAAACCAAGGCAAACTTGTTGACATACTTGACCCCGACGAACACCACAGTGGCCATGCAGGTGAGCACACAGGTGCCATAGACACGCATGTTGTTGAGCATGGCCGCGGCCTCCTCGCTGGCATCCTCTCCCTTGAAAATGGCCATGGCGGGGAAGATATAGGCCTGGGAGAGAGTCACAGCCAGCATCAACGTCTGGCCCAGCGCAGCCCCCACCCACCGGCTCCACTGCCCCACTTCTCCCCATTACAGGGTTATTACAGCCATACCCCAGGACCGGCCAGGATCGGGGCCCTGTTGTGTCAGGCTCAGCACCACAAACCTCACAAGACCCAAAATCACAAGATTTAAAAAAATTATGTTGTGTTTTGTGGTTCTGCCCCCTCCCCCCGCCCCGTCCCCAGTGTGTGCGGGTCTGTGAGACAAGCCGTGCTGTCCACATCCCCACACATATCGGCTCTGGGGGTTTGGGGAGCTCTCACCCCATCTGCCTGTCCCCTGGCCAGCCATTAACCCTGTCCCCCAGGCTTTCCACCACGCCTGTCCCCCCCAGCCTCTCCTCTGCTCCTCCGGGGCTCTGCCCAATGGGGTCCCCATCCAGGCCAAGTGCTGGGGGGGACAGAAGCGCCATCCTGCCCCCACTGCTGAGAGCAGGTGTGCCCAGAGCGCGTGGCTGGAGTGCCGGGCCAGAAGGCTGCTGGGTTACGGCCCCGTGGGGCCTGCGGGAACAGCCTCCCCCAGTGCCCGCTCAGAGGGGCCCCAGCCACACTCACCAGAAGGATCTCGATGGTGCCCAAGATGTACATGGCTCCCGCGAAGGTGGTGCCCAGGTAGAAGCACAGCCCCACGGCCCCGCCGAACTCGGGCCCCAGAGAGCGCGAGATCATGTAGTAGGAGCCACCCGCTGGCAAAGAGAAGAGCAAAGGGGGTTGGGTCCCGCTGCAGGAGCCCGGCACACGCCTGCTTTCTCAGGAACAGATCCCTTTGCACCCTGCCGGTGTGCATCTGCCAGGCCGCTCGGGGGCACCAGGGCCATGTCCCAGCTCCAGCTCTCCTTCCTCATGCCAGGGGAAGCCACTGTGGGTCCAGCAGAGGCCACTCTTGCCAGGCAGGAGTTGGCAAGGGGGCAGGGCGAGCACAGGGCCTGAGCTGGGGGCGGGGAGGTAGGGCTGTCTCCCTCCCAGCAGCAGGAGGGAAGGGGTCCCCTGGAGACCCTGCCAGACCCTCACGCCTTGGCTCACGCTGAGTGGTCTCTGGGCAGAGTGGGGGCAGCTGCCAGGCTGGGCTGTCCCACCTGTGCGGAGCTGACAGGCCGCAGATCGCCTGCAATCCCGCAGCCCCAGGAGGCAGCGGCTGGGCTGCGGACATGTGCTCTGCCAGCTGAGGCAGGCTCTGGGTCCCTGGGGAGCCGTGGCTGAAGGGCCTGCTGCAGCAGGTGAGAAATCCAGGAATGACATCGCTGGACACAGAGCTGTCAGCGCTCAGCCAGAGCCAGGCCACCCAGTCCGGCCAGGTGGGGACAGGGCCCAGCGGCTCTAGCAGCCCCAGGCAGGCGCAGCCATGCACCGAATGCAGTCCTGGGACACAGGGTAACCCCAGCCCCGACTCAGCATCATCCAGAGCTAATTCACTGAACAGCAACGTTCTGAACAAGCTGCTTTGCCCTGCCCCGCTCAGAGCGCCGTGTGGCTGGGGAGCAGAGAGCACCCCGGGAAGACCTTGTGCCAGCTCGGCCCGTTGCTCCCCTACATCCCCATGGCCTGACCCCCAGCCGCCCTCCCTGGAGTCTCAGCCCATTGCTCCCCTACATCCCCATGGCCTGACCCCCAGCCACCCTCCCGGGGGTCTCAGCCCATTGCTCCCCCTACAGCCCAATGCCCCTACCTCCAGTCGCCCTCTCTGAGGTCTCCACAATCTCCCCACCAGTCTTTGCAGGCAGTTACCATGTGGCAGATTCAGCTCATTAGTCTTTACTCCTCACTCAGTGAGGAGACCCACATCTGGCTTGGGCCTGTGGGTCTCCTCACTCACCCTGCCCATGTGGGTCATTTACATCTATGCCAAGCCAGTGTGAATGTGGCTGCCCAGGGCCATGCAGCTCCCCAGGGGACATTTCATGAGCTATTTTGTGTAAGCATAAACTCCAGCTTCAGGAGAACCGGGGATACATGCAGCCCTGGAGCGACACGCTGAGTTTATCTCTGGGGCAGCGGAGGGCTGGCTTCCCCCACACTGGCTGTGCCCTGCCTGAGGCTCGCTGTCATGGGGGGGCTGCCTATGGTCCAGCTGGTTCTGTGCCTCCCTGCTGCCTCTGCCCATTAGTTCCGAGCGGTAGGTGAGCTTGTGATGTGGGAGCTGGTCCTGAGACCCAGCACACTCATCGCACACAGGGCCACTAAACAGCCGCCTGAGGGGACCAGCTGTTAACCCCTGCTGAGCTGGGCTGGATTCATTCTGGTGCCCTGCCTGGGGAAGACTCTGAAGCGTGACAGTGACTCCCTGAGCCAGCCACTCCCTGGAGCACTAACGGGACACAGGGCAAAGTTTGGATTTGGGAAGATCAGTTATTAAATCCAGTTCTGCCCTTTGGGGGCTCACCCAGCCGGGGTCTCCCTGCTTTGCACCCCCACTGCCTCCGTCTGCTTACAAACCCCCTAATGTTCCCCACCCTCTTCTTAAACGGACAGCTCCCATTAATCCAAGTGCAGCACTAAAAACACCACAAACAATAAGCAACATCCAAATTCACCCCTCAATACAATGTGCTGCAGCATAAAATCATTCCCAGAACGATTCCCTGGCCCTCCCGTTCCACGCCACACATCCCACCCACACCCCTCTCAGCCCACCCGTCGGCAGCACATTTGCAGGCTCGCCCTTCGGATTTGCAGCACAGCCCGGCTCTAGGTGGGAATGCTGTTACCCTGTACGCAAAGCAGCCCATCAGGGGAGACACAACTCACACCGTGTCACCGGGTTACCCAGCTACAGAGGAGCTGGCATTAGAATGCTGGGTCTCTGGCTTCCAGGCTCTGGGAGCAGCATGTTGGCTAGTAGTTAGAGACATCACAGCCCAGTGCAGCAGTGTGACGAAGTTTCCTTGTTTCCTATGGGTTTTTCCCCCCCTTGGTTTTCCTATGGTTTGTATGCAGAGGGAGTGGGACTCAGTTTCCCTGGGGGTTACCAGTTTAACAAGGTGATGGGAGAGGGAGTTTGTTGTTCCAGAGGACTGGCAGGGAACGTGGGACGCCAGCCAACGGCCTGGTGACCCGGAGGCCCAACTCAGGAGTCACAGCCAGTTATGGCCAGTGGGGAAACAATGGGCTGCGAGGACCCCCGGGGACCCAACCAACCGGTCCCAGCTAGAGGACCCTGTTTACGACCCTGTTTACCTGGAGAGAAGACAATGGACAGGGGCGGGACTTGGGGCCGGGGATCTCAGCTGCCCAGCGGGGAAGCAGGGGGGCTCTGGGCTGGAGGGAGGGAGCAGGCAGAGCCCAGCTGGATGCAGGGGAGACTTGGATGTGCTGTGCTGAGGGAGGCCAGGCCTGAGGCCCTGAGAGTTTCCTGTGCTGGGTTCAGTGCTCAATAAACCCTCCTGTTTGACACTGACTGAGAGTCACTCCGGTCTAGAGAACAGGGTGGCATCATCCCCTTCGGGGAGTGGAGGTCCCAGGGATCCAGAGTGAGTGGTCTCCGTGAGGGGACCCACAGCGGGAAACAGGTGTGCTAAGGCTCAGAGAGGGGTGGCTTGAGGAGGTGGAGGGGCTTAACCCCGAGAGAGAGTGGACCCCCGGGAAAAGGGCTGTCTCACTGAAAGGGGCACCCCGCACGGACCGCAGGGGCCAAGAGCGGGCACGATCGGTGAGTCCGTGACAAGCCGTACCACTGCTTGGCTCTCTGCAGAAGCAGAATCTGGTCTTTTGGGAGCTAAAACTGCCACTTAGCTAAATGACAGCGCTAGCCACTGGCTGGGGGCAACTAGCCCCATAGGTGGGCCAGCCACTGGCTGGGGACTCTCTGTCACAGGGGTTAGACAAGCCCAGAATACAGCATGTTCCTTCCAAAAGCCAGTGGGTGACGCACATGGGCCTTTGGTCTCTCCCACCAGAGACTGAGGGTCTACGGCAGCTCTGCCTGTGCAGGGTCGTAGCTGTGGAGTGGGTGGCTGGGAGCTAGTGTCCCTGTGACTGGGGGAGGAGGCTGGGGGAGGAGGCTGATGCAGTCAGGGCGATGACGTGCAGCGGGGAGAGGGAAAGCCCTCGCCCTACCTGGCACAACGCCGTTTGTAGCGATGGCACTCATGGAAATGGCCGTCAGCATCGTCTGCAGAGAGGAAAACCATAGTGTTAGATTTCAGAGTAGCAGCCGTGTTAGTCTGTATTCGCAACAAGAACAGGAGGACTTGTGGCACCTTAGAGACTAACAAATTTATTTGAGCATAAGCTTTCGTGAGCTACAGCTCACTTCATCGGATGCATGCCGTGGAAAATACAGAAGATGGTTTTATACACACAAACCATGAAAAAATGGGTGTTTATCACTACAAAAGGTTTTCTCTCCCCCCACCCCACTCTCCTGCTGGTAATAGCTTATCTAAAGTGATCACTCTCCTTACAATGTGTATGATAATCAAGGTGGGCCGGAGAAAACCTGGATTTGTGCTGAAAATGGCCCACCTTGATTATCATACACATTGTAAGGAGAGTGATCACTTTAGATAAGCTATTACCAGCAGGAGAGTGGGGTGGGGGGAGAGAAAACCTTTTGCAGTGATAAACACCCATTTTTTCATGGTTTGTGTGTATAGAAACCATCTTCTGTATTTTCCACAGTATGCATCCGATGAAGTGAGCTGTAGCTCATGAAAGCTTAGGCTCAAATACATGGGTTAGTCTCTGAGGTGCCACAAGTCCTCCTGTTCTCCTAGTGTTAGAGGCACCCTGGAGCCATGCTGTCTCCTGTGCCCCAGTGGGCCGGGGGCACCAGGCCGGGGACCAGGAATAATGCAACACCTGGGAGGGGAGCAGTAATTACTGACCTGGAGGTGTGTCACGAGTGAGAGGGGTCAGGAATCGGGAAGGTGTTTGCCTGTATGAATGACACCAGTATGTCACTTTGTCGTGGGGCAAGGGACGAGCAAAGGGATTGACATTAAACCCGTGGTTGAGTTTTCCGAGCTGGAAGTTGAATTCAGCCCCAGGGTTATTCCCCAGGCGCTCCACCCCTGGGCTGTGGGTCCCAGCATGCCAGCTCCTGCCCAGTTTGCTCCTGGGTGAGCTAAAGCTTCAGAAGTGATCCCTCCAGGAGGGAGCTGGGACCCTTTGGAAGAGAGGCTCTCAGATTGTAGCGCATTGGAGGGCTGCCCAGGGCTGCTCTCCTCAGTAAGGTCTGGTCTGCATGTCAGACCTACGTTGGTGTAACGATGTCGCTTGGGGTGTGAAAAATCCACAGCCCTGAGTGACGCAGTTACACTGACCTAGCCCCCGGTGTGGACAGCGCCAGGTCCACCGACATAGCTACAGCCTCTCAGGGACGTGGATTAACTATGCCGCCGGGACAGCTCTCTCCCATCGGCTCTTTAAACACTACTGGGGCACAGCTGCACCAAAGCAGCGTTTGACATGTAGACGTGCCCTCAGCATGTGACCTGGTTCTTCTTGCTCCGGCATGGCTGCCGTGGCTATTGGTAGCAGAGGGCTGATGGGAGGGCAGGTTGCCCTGCAGCATGGCCCACACCAGGAAAAAGGGTTTTAACATGAGGCTTTCCTGGCCTCTGGCAACCCTGCTGCATATGGGGGGGGGGCACCATCTTGGAGGCGGGGCCCCATTTCCATCCAGCTGTAAAACTGCCTGAACTGCACAAAAAGAGCTGTCTTCTTGCATTGCACAGGGCGGGAGACGGCCCACAAGAAGGGGGTGCTGGAATATCAGATTCTGATCCCAGGAAATAAAGTTCCCAAGAAGTAGCTGCTCCCCTCAGTGGGGCCCCCAGGCAGCACACTCCTGCCCATCTCCAGGATTGATAGAATTGGGACTAGCTTCTGGCTTGTAAAGGCTGGTTTCCCAACAAGGTGATGGGTTTGGTTTATTAGCTGTGTCAGCATTCAGTGTTCCCATCTCGTTCCCTAGTAACAGGTGGCTGGCTGTCTCCAGTCCTCTCTTTCGCTGCAGTCTCCCTCCCCCCAGCACTGGAGTGGGGCTTCTTCCTGACTCCTAGGCTGAGCCATGTTCATGCAAACAGGGGAGGTGAATTATTCCTCCCTGCAGGTCCCAGCGGGCCCTGCCACTCCCAAGGAACTCCAGCCCTTGGCCGGAAGGGAGAGAAGAATGAGCTAGGCCTGTCCATTCAGTGCTGGGCTCTGCCCGTCTCGTCTAACCCCACCTGGACGGGACACTCCATGCTGCACAGCAGAGCTTACAGCCCTGGGGTGACGGCTGCACGGCAGGGCGGGGTAACGCCATCACTCACGCAGGAGCAGCAAAGGATGACCATGCAGAATGACTCCATGATGCCAGCAATTCCCACCACCCAGGTGAGGCGCAGGAAGAGGATCACCCCGAAGATGTTTTGCAGGCAGGGCAGGTAAACGCCCATGAAAGTGCCCATCCGTGGAGCCTACAGAGAAAAGCATAGCACGATTAGCCACGAGGGAGGCAGCATCACCCCCCAGCCCCCCACCCCCGCCGAGACCAAAGGGCCTCTTGAAATGTTTTTCCCTGGGAGGGTCAAGTCCCTGGAAACACGGTGCAGCGACAACTGGGGCTGGGGAGTCACGACCAAAAGAAATGGAGGGGCTCATTTGCTCCATGCCTCGCCATGGCAGCTGTGGAGAACAGTTCAGAGGGGAGGGCTCAGACCTCAGCTGGGCAGAGCAAAGGAGCAGCATGCAGCGCTGGCGAGGGGAGCTCCAAGGCAGGAAACTGCATCTGAGACAGCAGGCTCTTCCGTCCTCTGCAGCGGCCAGGTCAGCGCCTGCCTCCAGGCACGGGGCGTGCTTGGAATACGACAGGGAGAGCGAGTGAAAGGATGCAAACACGGTCGCTGCAGAGGATCGGCTACAGCCACCCTGCTGGAGACAGGCCTCTGCCACCCTACTTGCTGCTGTGCTCTCTCTGCACAGCTGCAGGGCCTTTCGTTCCAACAGCAGCAAGGCTGACTCCGCCCCGCTCCTCTGCACGGGGCTCCCGAGACGCCCCCAAACCCGCCAACGGGGGTTCTGTCTCAGGGGATCAGAGCCGTTCATTTCCCTGTTGGCACGGTGCCAGCTGCGGCCCACGTTGCCCCTCACTGTGTGGCCGCTCACAAAGGGAGCCGGCAGGAAATCGCAGGGACAGGTTGACGCAGGCAGGGTGACCGGACAGCAAGGGTGAAAAATCGGGACGGGGGTGGGGGGTAATAGGAGCCTATATAAGAAAAAGACCCCAAAATCGGGACTTTCCCTCTAAAATCGGGACATCTGGTCACCCTAGGCGCAGTACACTGGGAACTTGCTCCCGGCTGTGACGCTTTGCAGCCCACAGTGCTGGTGGCTCCAGGCTGCCCACTTAGGGCCTGGCTACGTCAGAGAGCTCCGTGGATCGCAATGCACCTGGCTCAAACACAGCCCACCCGGGGCCACAGACACCAGTGGTCCAAGCCACTGGTGTCTGTGGCAGGGAGGCAGGGGGCCACGGCAGCGGCCTGGGGTAGCCGTGCCCCAGTGACAGCCCAGGGCAGCCCGTGAGCACTTTGGAAAGCCTGGTGCTTGGGGATCTCTGGCGGAAGCGATGCAGACACCAGGCGCCTCAGAAGGGTCAGGTGCACCTGGGCCCATGGCAGCGCCCTGGTGATCTTGGCAGCAGCAGCATGAGCCACGTGCTACCCACCTGCTACTGCAGCAAGGACTGGGAGCTGCGGGAGGGCCCCACTCCATGGAGGAAGGCCCAGCTGAGGCGGTAGGACAGTCCTGGACCCTGCCCTGCGAGCCCCAGGGAGCAGGAAGTGAGAGCGTGGGAATTCCTGAACTCCCACAGCTGCAGAGAACCTCACTCAGGCCAGAAAATGCAAATTGAAACCAGGAGCCTCCAGATCCGAGCAAGCGGGAGCTGCTGAGCCCCTAGCCCCTGGGCGGGAAGCCTCACTGTCCGCCCAGGGACTCAATGCAAAGCCTGTGAATCCTGCAGGGAGAGGGCTAATCCCACTCGCTTGCCCGCTCCCTTGGCCATGTCTGTGTGACTGTGCCATGGCTTAGCACCGACGTGAAGGGGCAAACCCCTTGGGAGAGAACCCATGGCCCAACGGCCCCTGAGAGCAGCCCCAGAGAACCCCACCGCAGTGCCCCCCCGATCCGCTCACCAGCAGCCCCAGAGAACCCCACCCCAGATCCCCCCACCAGCAGCCCCAGAGAACCCCACCGCAGTGCCCCCCCAGATCCCCCCACCAGCAGCCCCAGAGAACCCCACCCCAGTGCCCCCCCAGATTCCCCCACCAGCAGCCCCAGAGAACCCCCCACGCCCCCCCACCAGCAGCCCCGAGAACCCCCCCAGACCCCACCCCACCAGCAGCCTCAGAGAACCGTACCCAGTGCCCCCCCAGCCAGCAGCCCCGGAGAACCCCCCCAGACCCCACCCCACCAGCAGCCTCAGAGAACCCCCCCAGACCCCCCCATGGCAGCCAGCGCTGGAGCCCGGTGCCGAACCCCTCACCTGTACAGGTTTCTTTTTGGCCCCGTCGTTGTTCTCCGCCTCCTCATGCTCTCGGCTGCCCTGTGGCAGGTTGGTGTAGTTCACGAGGCCACTCAGCAGGGACGAGACCATGGGGCTGGTGTCCATCTCTTCCTGTTAGGGGCAGTGACAGGTGAGGGTGAGACCTGTCCTGAGCCAGCTGCGCCCTCCCTCCACGCTGCCCCCCCCCCCCGCGGTCCCTCTGCTGGGTGCTGTGACGAAGCGGGACTGTTCTTAATGTTTCCTCTGAATAGTGTGGGGGTGCCTCAGTTTCCCCTAGGCAGTTCTTAAGTATCTAGGTGGTGGGGTAAGGGTGTATGATCATTGCAGAGCCCTAGGGAGCAGGTGTGTGCAGGGGTCTGGACACAGAGAATGGCCGACACCCTGTTTCCTGGCAACTGATGGCCTGGGCCCTTCCCCCCTGCAAGGTGAGAGCTAAAGGGTTGGAGAACAAAGGAATCAGGTGCCCTCCTGGCCCGGGAAAGGGACAAAGCCCAGAGGAGGAGGGGCTGGAGGGAGTTTCAGTTGGGGGCTGGCTGGAGACATGGCGTGAAGTGCAGACGCAGTTGTCTGGCTCACTGCCCCCAAAATGGACCCAGCTGAGGGGTCTGGTTCTCTGCACCTACAAGCTCTGTGTTAGACCATGTTCCTGTCGTCTAATAAACCTCTGTTTTCCTGGCTGGCTGAGAGTCACATCTGTCTGTGAAGTTGGGGGGCAGGACCCTCTGGCTTCCCCAAGACCCCGCCTGGGTGGACTCGCTGTGGGAAGCGCACGGAGGGGCAGAGGAGGCTGAATGCTCCGAGGTCAGACCCAGGAAGGGGGAAGCCATGTGAGCTGTGTGTCCTGCAGACAGGCTGCTCCCAGAGAGGAGACTTCCCCAGAGTCCTGACTGGCTTCATGGGGAGCAGTTCCAGAGCATCGCCCGGGGACTCCGTGACAGGTGCCCTACCTCGAAGAGGGCCATGTTCTTCCCGTCATACTCCTTGCCCTTCTCCAGGTCTGTGCTGTTGATGAAGGGGCTGCTCTCCTTGGGGTTGCCATCACCTGCAGAGACTCACAGAGATCAGGGCTTGGGCCAGTCACCCCCTCTCCCAGCCAGCAGCCCACACCATGCCAGCTCGCCGGCTCACCCACCCTGCTAGTACTGCTCCCACCCAGCATCGGCTGCACAGAGCTCCAGTCACCCCAGCCACCCCCTGGGAGCATGGTGAGAAGCTGAAAGCAGGGCCCCAAGCCCAGCATGGCCCCACCTGCCAGGAGTCATCGGGGATCCACAGCCCTGATGCCAAGGAGAGCTGGGATTCTCAGGAACACGTGAGTGAGAGGCCGAATCTCTTCCAAATGCACCATCCAGGGCTGGCTCAGACCACTGACCCGGGCCATCAGTGCCCAGGTAGGGGTACACGGGCACTGCTGGGACTGGGGGGAGAGTGACTGCTCCTGACACCCAGCCATGCCTCGACTGCAGGGAACAGAGCCAGGGAAAGCAGCCAGTGTCCCTGGACAGCCTGGCCTTCTCCACCAGAGTCCCCTGCCTAGACACTACTGGGATTTATGGCCAGCACTCCCAAGCTGCACCCCTTGCTGCTCCTGCCGGAGCCTGAGCCCCCCAGCACCACTGCTTAAAGTCACTGGGCAGCCGCCCGGGAGGGAGGCCTGGTGGGTATTAGACTCAGAGCAGCAGGCTCTGTGCCCTGAGCCCCAGCAGAGGGAGTCATGCTCCCAGCCCCCATGGAAGGGGATCCACGCCCCGGCACCAGCACTGGGTTTCCCACCCCCATGCAAGGGGATCCGTGCCCCGGCACCAGCACTGGGATTCCCAGCCCCTGTGCAAGGGGATTTCCAGACCCCTGGTGTACAGTCCCTAATGTACTTAAGGCATCTCTGCCGGTTTGCTCTGTGGGCAGTGAGTGCTGAGAAAAGAGGCAAAATCCTGGCTCCAGTGCACAGGTGGGTGAGTAAGAGGGCACTGGGGCAGCCCGGCCTGGCAACTGGGCAGGGGGCAGTCAGATGGAGCAGGGCTGGTCTGCCAGGAGAGTGGGCTAACTACGCAGAGCCTTGGCCCAGGCCCCACCGTGTCCCCCATATGTGGAGAGCCAGCAGCCCCGCAGCCTGAGCAGAGGGGAGGTTGCCAGAGCAGCGGCCTCAGGGCGCTCCCCCGACAGCCCAAGTACCCAGGCCCCACAGAGGGACAGCGCATGCACCAGCCTCTGCACTCTGTGCCCCATCCCCACCCAGGCTCGGCACCCACCCAAGCTTCAGGGTCATGGGACTGCAGCCAAAGAGCACAGACATCAGTTGAAGTGAGTCGTGTGCACCCATGATGGGAACAGGCCCTGGCCCGGCGCTCCCCCAGGCCAGACCCAGCCACGACAGAGCCACGGCCTATTCTGCCCATGTGCGGGGGCCCTCTCCTGGGAGCCAGAGCTGCCTCTGGGATTGGGCCCAGGCTGGCTGCCCCTGAAGGCAACGCAGAACTAAAGAATTGTTGAGTGGCCCCTGGGGTCCAGCCCACATGGGAAGCACTGCAGAGCAATGGGGCCGCCAGCTGCCAGGGAGACCTGCTCCGTCTGTAGCTCTGTGAGGGGAGAGCAGCAGGTCTGGAGGCTGAGAAGGATCTTTTGGGGGCCGCGTGGGAATGGGCTGAGCAGTGTAGCGAGGGGACCTGTTGGGGGCACCAGGTCCAGCTGGAGCAGGGTGATGCTCACAGGTTCTCTGGCAGAGGCCTGGCTGTCTGCAGCACAGACGACCTCGCTCTGAAGGACCAAGAGCCAGACGTAGCAGTAATGAAAAGTGCAGAGCCGCGGAAAGAACTCAGGGTGGGAGAGCTGCAGCTGGGACAGGTGCAAGGGGAGTAGTGTGTTTTGAGGAGCACGGGCACAACCAGGGAGCAGCAAAGGGGGGTGGGACTGAGCAGCCCCAAGAACTGCTGCGAGCCCAACCACAGAGCAGCTGCCCCAGTGAGCTCCTGCGTGCCAGCCCCACCCTGAGCGCCCGCGGGGGAGCCCACCGAAGCAGGCCTGGGAATTGGCCGAGATCCACCCAGACCCCGGGGACATTGGCAGCTGGAATCCAATGAGAGCAACTCACTCGCCTACGCAGCCCGCTTGGGACAGAGCTGTCTGCGCCCGCTTCAGGGGAAGGCTGGAGCTCCTGGGGGTCTCTCAGGGGCAGGGAGACAGGGACTGCTCAGGGGGAACCCCGACACCAGCTGTGCACAAAGCACCCCATGGGACAGGCAGAGCGAGTCCATGGACAGGGACAGCGCGGCCTGTGGCGCTGGGAACCCGCTGACAGCCTGGCACAGCTCTGCTCTCGATGGCTGGGTTCAGGTCAGGGCCTGACAGAGCCAAGGAACTGGGTGTGACACAGCAGGGAGTGGGGTGGACTGACCGGGGAATGGCGTCTAGTTCTGCTGGGACTGTCTGCACAGGGGATGGGAGAGCAGGGGGTGAATCCACTGGAGTGAGGAGACCTGAGCCTGTCACCTGAGCTGGGAGAGGGTTGGGCCCAGGTGACACCTTTGCCCGGGAAACTGGACAAAGGCTGCAGGAGAGAGCCTGCTGGAGGGGTTTTGGTTTCAGTTTTGTGCTGGGTGGTGGAAAGCAGGGGAACCCCAAGGCTGGAGTCTAAACTCCCTGCTCCCCAGAAGGACTTAACTGAGGAGTCCTGGTTGTACCCACAAGCTCTGTTTTGGACTGTGTTCCTATTGTCCAATAAACCTTCCGTTTTACTGGCTGGCTGAGAGTCACAGTGATTCCCAGGAAGAGGGGTGCAGGGCCCTGACTCCCCGACACTCCGTGACTGGGCAAGGGGCAGAATTTTCAGACCGCTCTGCGATTCCCAGGTCTCTCCAGAGGGAACTCCTTGCTCCCCAGGGGAGGAACAGTAGCCACCTGGCTTCGGTGCTTTGGCTGCATCCAGTAGGTTTTAGCACATGCCCATGCCGAGGAACATGCCAAGTGCAGCCTGTCCCCTGTGGGGTTCCTCGCGCCCCAGGAGAAACTCACTCAGCGGCTGCAGAGCCGATCGGAGGCCGAGCACAGCTCCCCTGGCAGTGGCAGGGCCTGGGGTGGGCCCACGTGCTCTCAGCCACGGGAAGGGTCTGCCTGGGACATGGAACCACAGGTTGCAGTTTAATGAAACCAATGCTGCCCAGCCACACAGGGCTCTGTCAGCTCCTGTCACAGGAGAACTACCAGTGCTAACAAACAGGCCCAGCAAGGTCTAGACAGCCTCCATATCCCTGCCAGCCCCATGCCATGGCCAAGAGCTGGGCAGCCCCCAGGGAGTGAGAGGAGGAGGAGAGGAAGCTCCTGTTCTGCCGAGCTTTGGTTCAAACACACCCAGCGCCCTGACAGAGGGGACATGCTGCTGCCATTACCCAGCCCAGGGCCCCAGCGCTCGGCAAGTCCCAGCAATGCTCCCTGCTGTGTGGGAGAGAAGCCCACTGACCCCCAGGATGCTGCGCAGGGCCCAGGACGCCCGTCTATGCCCTGGGCTGAGTCCCAGCCCATTATGTAGCTGCGCCACATGGGGCTCAGCTGTCCAGAGTGCAGAGGGGCAGAGAACACGCTGTCACAACACAAGCGGCCTCGCTTACTGGTGTCACGGGACTGCAGTGCCCCGAGTCTGCTGCACGCCACAGCCTGCAAGGAGCCTGGGTGACCAAGATGTGATGATGTGACGCAGCAGGGAGGGGGGAGTGCTGACCTGGGAATATGCCCTGGGGATGGGAGACCTGAGAGCCTGTCACCTGAGCCAGGAGCGGGAGGGGGAGGTAACACCTCTGCCCAGGAATGTGGATGGAGGCTGCAGAAGGGAACCTGCTGCGGGGGTTTAGTTTCAGTTTGGGGCTGGGTGGAGGAATACAGGGAACCCCAGGGCTGGGGTCTAAGCTCCCTGCTCCCCCAGAAGGACTTGACTGAGGGGTCCTGGGTGTACCCACAAGCTCTGTTTTGGACTGTGTTCCTGTTGTCCAATAAACCTTCTGTTTTACTGGCTGGCTGAGAGTCTCAGTGAATCCCAGGAAGAGGGGTGCAGGGCCTGGACTCCCCCACACTCCGTGACACAAGTGGGAGTATTTTGTAATATTGTTATGAAGCCTATGTGTGCCTCAGTTTCCCCTATGTGCTGCACTGTTACCCAGTGACGCAAAAGAACTGTTTGCTCTCAGGACAGGCTGAGGTATGTGGGTGTCCCTAGTCTGGGTCGAGGTCTCGATATCAGCGGAGTGGCTGAGAAGACCATGGCGAATCCAGTCGCCAGGACATGGACACCTAGCAACCAGAGGGCTGTGGCCTTCCCCACCTCTCCTAGGGAGCTGAACAACGGTCCCCAGCTCCAGAGCAGAGGATGGGAGAGGTGGGGGAGGAGAGCTGGCTGCTGGACCGAGCTGGGGCTCTCACCCGGGTCTGACCAAGGAGGAGACAGACAGAGCTTGAACCAAGGGGTCCCTACAGCTTGGCTGGGCGCTGAGCTAACCAGACTGGACTGTGCTTTACCCTTCAGTTCTCTGTGCTACCCTAAGGCCTGCCTGGGCCCTGTGCCAGCTAGTGAATAAACCCGACTGTGGGACAGCGCTGTGTGAGTGTCACTGCCCATGCTGGGCGAGGGACGTCCGTACGCGTCTCCCTCAGGGACTTGCTGACGGAGCTCCCGGGGGCTGCAAGCCCAGAGGTTGTGTGTAGCTGCACGGCCTACCCTGGAGGAAGAATGAGAGGCCTAGGGCACACCAGAGGGGTTCGTCCTAGACCGCTCCGAAGATGGGGCCATACACCAACCCTGTGGGGCCGTGACACCCTGTCCGCACCCTCCCCAGAGGAGGTACAGCCTGTTGGTGACGTTATTCGCAATGGACAGAAGCAAGCAATTCCAAACCACACGTCATGTTCCCAGAGCAAAGGATGCTTGGGCAGCGAGAGGGAGACGGGCAAAGGGAGCCCAAGACCCCTTGCTGCCCTGCAACAGCAGAAAACAGGCCGCGCACCACGTGTGTCAATCACAACCACCAGAGAACTGCAGCCTCGGCAAACATGGCAACC